AAATATCCATAAAAAAAAAAAAAAAAAAAAAAAAAGTGATGGTAAAACACTCTAGTTATTATATTATGTGTTGGTATTTAAATATACTTTATTAAAAATAATGCAAACCTACAACATGAAGAGATTTAATATATATTAGTTTATTATAGATAAAAATTAGCAATACGTAAACAATTACTAATAAGTATGCCAAATAAAAGCACGATGAAAAAAAAAAAAAAAAAAAGAATAACAATTAATATTCTTAAATATTAACTTTAAAAAATATACATTAAGAATATTGAAAATAATAAATTTTCTTTTGAAAAAATAAGATCATATTTAAAGAACAAAAATATTTATATTTTTACTGAATGCGCATTTCAACAATAAAATTTCTTTTTATGTATTATTAGGAACCTTATTATTTTCAATAGAAATTTGTAATAAACCTCTAACAGCTGTAAAATATAATAATAAAAATGATAATACGAAAAAAGGAATATTAATAATTTTTCTTCATTTTTTTTTAATTTATTTTATTTTTATCATTACTAAAATTATACTATATCTTATATAAAAAATTAACATGTTTTAACTATACCTTGTCGGCAGATCGGACATTTTGTATTTTGCATTCTAACAATGTTAGCACACTTAAAAAATGAAAAAAAAAAATAGAATAATGTTAGTAAAGAAATTTATATAAATATAAAAAATAAATTACCAAGTTACATAGGCACATATGTCTACAAGGTAAAATAGCTGTATCTCTTTCTTCAGAAAGGCATATTACACATTCCCTATTAAAGTATTAGCAAAATATATATATATTTCATTTAAATATGAATATATATATATATTTTTTTTTTTATAAATTATATATATTGTAACATACCTCCCTGATAAAAAATTGTTAACAGGATCAGTTTGTGCCTCATTAGATTTTTCTATACCAAATATTTCTTGAACTTCAAAACTTCTATTACCAAACTGTATTTTTTGTCTATAAAGAACAATTTTATATTTATCTTCTCCATTATTATTTTCTTTTATTTCATTTTCTTGTATATAAGCAAAGTTAAATTGTGCTTGCGGTATAGATGCTCCTATAGATTTCAGAACAATTAGAATAGGTATAATATATTCATAACTTGGTTTACATTTCAAATCATTTATATCAATATTTTTTAAATCAATTCCATCTTCTGGTTCACTTATATATACTTGATTTACTTCTTTATGAAATATTTTTTTAATTGTTTTATATTTTGTTGGGATATATCTATTAAAAAGAATAGAACAAAAAATAAAAAAAATATATTTAAAAAATATATAATAAATAAATAAGTAAATAAACAAAGAATATAATAAACATAAATTTTAAGTATGAAAATAAATTATATATAAAATATATATAAATAAACTTTATTTAAATAAATAATAAGAAAAATGTAAAACATAAAAATAAAAAATTATGTTTATAATTTATACAGTGTCTCCTGTGTTTCGGAAATTTCTTCCTTACAACAAAAATAAATAGACAATTCTACATCATATAGTGAATCAAAAATAAAATTTATTAAATAAACATTATTTCCATTATTTACTAATTTTAATGTCTTTCTGCGTAAATTTATGGAATTTCGAACAACTGAAGTTTTTTGAATGTTAATATTTGGTCCTTGTGATATTAAATCACACAAGTTTTCATTTGCTGATCTCTAATTAAAAGCAAAATTTTAAGAAAAATTTTAAATAAACCTTTACTTATATATATAAATTATTTTAAATTTTTTTTATATTTTTTTTTAATAATTTTAAATTATATTTTTACATTATTAAAAGATGGATTTAATGATATGATACGGGGCTGTTTAAATGAAAAAAAAAAAAAAAAAATTGTGAATTTTCATGGGGAGCATTTTATAACGTCTTGAAAAATAAACAACTAATTTTCAAATTTTTAAAAATATTATATATAAAAATATTTATTGCCGTTAGATATTTCAATTATATATCTGTTTCTTTTTTACTCATTTTTAAATTATTAAACATATATATATAACAAAACTTATTTTTCTTTCATTTTTTTAAAACCTTACAGGAGAATTATGAAAATCGTCATTTTGATTATTAGCTAAAGAAGAGCCAATTATTCCCATTATACATAATAAATAACAATAACTAATAAATCATTATATAAATTAATTATATAAATATATATATATATATATATATATAAATATATGTATTGTTAATTATGCACTTAAAACATTTTTTGAGATTGTATAGTTACTTATACCAACAGTAATTAAAAAGAAGAATAAAAGAAATAAAGATAATTTAATTTTATATTATTTTTAAAAAAATTAGTTAAAATTACATAGTATAATGAAAAAAAAAAATTAAATTTTCTTTAAAAAAAAAAAAAAAAAAAAAAAAAAAAAAAAGCTTTATATCTTTGTGCACATTAAAAATAAAATATGATTAATAAAAAAAATGAAATAGATAACATGCTTATTTTATTTTTAGATTTGTTGAATTTAGAATTTATTTCATACCAAACAAATTTTAACAAGTAACAATATTTTTTGAGGAAAAGATATAAATTTTAATAATTAAATTGTAATGAAAAAAGAAAATTCTAATAATAAAGTTTTTTGCTTATTAAAATATTGAAAAAAAGAATTATTTTAAATTTTAAACAATACTGAAATTTTTTTTTTTTTTTTTTATAATAGTATTATTTATCTTTTTCAATAAATATGTGTAGCGTAAAATATAATTATATAAATTTTCTGATTTAACGAAAAGATGTATTATCAAGAGAAATAAAACATTACTTTTTATAAAAAATAAATTTCATTTAATAGTACATACATTAAATTTAAATTAATGGTAATTCATAAATTATTCAATAAATTGTACATTATTGTATGTTATGCTGTCTTTTTATTTTTATATTTGTAATATATATATTTTTTTAAAAGCTAGTATTCAAGAACCAAAGGTAATTATTGTTAATTTCTATAATATAATAAAAACTAAGTTTATTTTTTTTTTTCCTTTTTTTTTTTTTAAATTAATGTATACTATAAGAAAAGACTTAAACTATACATTTTTGCTGTTACATACACGTTTTATATATATTCATGGATTTATATATACGCAGTTACACTTTCAACGTATAAAGGAAAAAAAATTTTACACGTTATACTTTAAGGAAAATTTGTAATTTTAGAATTTATTATATATAGAAATGGAAAATACATTTAAAGTTCATTTCGCTTTTTAGAAAAAAAAAAAAAAAAAAAAAAATTAAAATAAAAATATAACTAATTTATATAAAAAAATATGTACAATTCAGGTAATTAAAAAAAAAAAAGTTTTTATAAGATAAATATTAATGTGTAATAATTGTAGGATTTGGAACAATGAAAAATAATCATACTTTTTCCTTCTTTTTTATCTTATAAGATTTATTCTACAAAAAATATATGTATATTATTAAATAAGTAATTGTAAAATTTTCAACATCAAAAATTATTTGCAATATGTTGGAATCTTGATTTTATTATTTCAACAGCTATTCTTATTTATTTCTGAATACGAAAGAAAAAATTTATGATTGATAATTTAATATAAATTAAATTATAAAGGTGTAAGAAAATTTTCAATTATTAAAAATAATAAATATTATATCTTTGTTTTTTAACATAAATATTCAATTTGTAAGTTAAAAATGTAAACAGCAAAAGATATTTATTTTGTTTTTCAATATTTGTTTTTTATTTTTTGTTAATCTTTAGTCTTCAATATTTTATATATATATATATATATATATTTTTTTTTTTTATCTTTATTTGTTTTTAACAAAAATTAAACTGATTTGAATTTTCTTTTTGTTTAATTAATAATTATAAAATGAAAAAAAAAAATATAAAAAAGCTACGTTATCTTGATTCAAAAGGGAAATTATATTCCAATGGTATAAAAAATGAACTGAGTACAAAATATGACCAAATAGACTTAAGCAAGAATTATAATCTAATAGAAAATTATAGTGTATTACAAAATTTATTAAAGCAAGCAGAAGAACAATATGATTTTTTAAAAAAAGAATTAAATTTATTACAGAAAAAGAAAGATTTATTGCAATGGCATATATGCAATAACATTAAAAAATTAAGTATGAAAAGAAGTGAAAAAAAATTTAAGGATGAATCAGGCACTAAATTGGAAACAAAATTAAAAACATTAAAAGAAAAAACGAAAATTTATAAATTTGAACATGATAAATTAGAAGAAGAAGTTAACAAAATGGAGCAAGAATTAGAAAAAAAAATATATGTTAAGAACGACATAGAAAACAAATTTAATGAATGGTTGAATAAAAAAGATGATTACTTAAAAGATATTACTCAAGAAAGGATACAGGTTCTTAAAGAAAGAAAAAAAAGGCAAAATCAATTAAAAAAATTATTATTGCTTATGAAACAGGAAAATAATAAAAATTACAATATCAATTATCTTCAGAAATTTGAAAGCAATTTAATGAATGAAATAAGTAGTTATAAAAATTATAATGATTTTGAAACCAAAATTGCTATGGATTTAATTGAAATGAATTCTTAGAATAATTTAATTATTTCTTCAAATATGTATATATGTACATTTGTTTTTTTAATTAATGGAATATACATAAATATGTTTTTAGTAAAAGGAACAGTTGAGACATGTTGAAATAAAAAAAAAGAAAGAAAATGTTTTATTTCTGTTTCTTATAAGTCATTCATTTGTTACACATGTATATATTTATTTGTGAAAATGTTTAATTATTTTGAAGTTTTAAAGTATGTATATAACTATAATAAAACTTGGAGAAGAAAAGAACTCTTTTTTATTAGGATAAAGAATTTTGTTCCTTTTTTTTCCCCCTTTTTATAATTAACTTGGATGATGTATATATTGTGAACATAAATTTTCTTCTTATCCGTTATTGTTAAAAGTATAAAATTACAAGGTAATATTTTTAAAAATAATTAATTTCTAATATCATCTTTTTATTCTTATAAGTGGAAGATACTATTCAGTACTAAATTTATATAAGTATCTTAAGGATTATAATTAAATTTTTGTTAGGCTTATAATAGATAATTTAAAAGCCTAATAATAACATAAAAAAAAAAAATATATATTTCATAATTTTTAGAATCTTATGTATACACACTTTTATACTTCAATGAAAAATATTTGAAAAAAAAAAAAAAAAAAAAAAAAAAAAAATATAATATATATGTAATATAATGATAAAATTATAATGTTTTGCAAATTTGTTTTATTTTAAAAACGTTTTTGCTTTTAATTGTATGTAATCTATAATTAGTTTTTATATATGTCAATAAATTAAAACGATGTTAATTATTTATATTTTTCTAATAAAGTTTAATTGTAGAAAATTTTAATAAAGTTGTAGAATAAAAAAAAAAAAAAAATTATGTAGAATTATCATCATACTTTAGAGTGTTTAAAATTTTTGGTAGAGTAAAAACAACACCACTGGCATCTCCAACGAAAGCTGCATTAATACTAGGTTCAATATATATGTAGCTGATTGGAACAAAAGGTTCAAATTGCTTATCGTAAGTTTTAATATATGAAAAAATTAAATCACCATCCATTTTTTTTGTTATATTAGTTACACACAATGATCCATTATTACATCCGGCAATGAGGACTACCTTTTTATATTTCCATGAGTTGGGTGGTTCTAATAAATATAGAGTAGATAATGAAGAATTTTTAATAATTTGATTAGTTGGTATTTTTTTAGTTTGCTTTAATGTTTTGGTGTCCCACACCGATAAATAGTTATTACCAATTAATAATAAAACATCTTCTAATATTTTCGAATATTTTAAATCCATTATTGGACTTTTTGAAATACATGTATAAAGAAGTAACTGAAAATCATATAAATCATAAACAGCTATATAACCATTACCAAATGCCACCCACAACTCATATTTATGTGTGACGGCTAGTATAGCCGATACGTAACACTTATTTGAAACATTTTTCTGATGATACTGAGATTTCTTTTTTAATTTTATTCTTTTACTCTCTTTATTAATAGAGTTATGTTCATCAGAATCGGTTAAATAATTATCACCAGAATTATTTCTTTTATGATGATTATCGTCATGTTTTTCATTATTTTCTTCATCATTTCTATTTTCTTCGGAACTGCTATTTTCTTCATAACTATCATTTTCTTCATCACTATCATTTTCTTCATAACTATCATTTTCTTCATCACTTTCATTTTCTTCATCACTATCAGTTTCTTCATCACTTTCATTTTCTTCATCACTGTCATTTTCTTCATCACTGTCATTTTCTTCATCACTATAATTTTCTTCATCACTGTCATTTTCTTCATCACTGTCATTTTCTTTATCACTATTATTTTCTTCATAACTATTATTTTCTTCATCACTGTCATTTTCTTCATTATCTTTTTTTTCTTGTTCATTTATTTTGTTCTCTTCTTTATCACTTTGTCTATCCTTATAATTATTAATTACCTTTTTTTTTTCTTTTACTTCTGTTCTTCTTTCCATTTTTTTCGAAGTAACTTTTTGGAAATTTCTTTTTTTATTTTTTTCATAAATTATTTTATTCTTTTTTTCGACCAATTTTTTGTCGAGTTTAGAATTTCTTTGGTATAAAGTATTACTACAGAAACTAGTATCACTTGAAGAATTAATTTTTGCATTTAAATAACTATTTTTCTTTTTATTGTTACTGTCAGCAGATAACTTTTTTGTGTGTTTACTATTTTTTTTTGTTTGCTGAGTTTTTGTTTTATCACTTTGCACATATTTGTTTAAATTTTTTTCATTATTATATTTCTTTTTTATTATCTTTTTTTTTTTAAATTTTTTTTTTTTGTAATTGAAATTTTCACTAGAAGAGTAATAATTATTTGACTTATTTTTTTTTTTTTTTAAATCGTTAAAAAAATGAATTGGGTGAATAAGGATTTTTATTAGGTTTCCACTTGGTACTTCCCATACAAAAATGTATCCTTTCATATTACCTGCAATTATCCAATGTATAAAATTAGCAAAAGTTGATTTAACTGAGATACCTGAAATCTGATATGATAAATCATTATCAAAATCATTTAATACTGAAAAATTTAACATATTACTATTTCCTTCATTATTATAATAATTTATTATATTGTCTTTTATATTAGTATAATTCATAGTTTTTCTATTATTCGTAGAGTTACTAAAGTATCTTTTTAAGCATTCTTTTGTATTTAATTTCAATATACATTCAAATTTGTCAATTTTATAAATTAATACAAAACCATTTTGTGTTCCTAAAATAACCACTTTTCCTATCCCACCTATGCTACCATTTATCATACAAGTAATAGTACAAGGATATAAGCTTTTATGTTGAATTAATTTTCCTTTTAATGAATATTTTTCATATGCACATGGTGTCTGAACTATTATATTATTTGATTCATTTTTATTTCCTTTTTCTATACTTATAGCTAAAACGGGACCTGGTTTATTTGGCTGATTAGGTATCCCACATTTTTTAGCTACAAAAATATAATTTTTTACAACTATTGATTTTATATTTTTAAATAAAAAGGAAAAATTCCACTTTTTTTTTTGCTCCCATTCTTCATTTTTATGGCTTATTTTTATTAAATTACTATTCATACTATCTGATCTAGATAATGAACTTGAAAAATTACTTAAAAATGTTTTATCTTTTCTAGTTTGTATTTCTACTACATTTAAATCTTTTTCACTATATGATTTTAAATTATTGCTTTCTATATAATTTGATTCATTTTTTTTATTCAAATAACAATTATTTAATTTGTTATATTCATTGTCATTATTATTATTATTATTATTATTAAAATCAATATTATTGTCATTATTATCTTCATTATATTGAATATTACTATTGGGTTTATCATTACCACAACTACTACTATTATTACTTTTATGTATATCCTTAGTTTTATCACTACTATTATTTATATTATTGGTAATTTTGCTATTATTAATTTTATTATTATTATTTATAATGTTATCATTTATATTGCTATTTTTATTACTATTATCAAAATGATAATTACTATTATTCATATCGTAAACATTTATGTTATTTTTGTTGATAATATCATTGTTACTATCATTATTATTGTCATTATTGTTATTAACATAGTTAACACTATTGCTATTTTTGTTGATATTTTTATTACTATTATTATTTATATTATTATCATCATTAGAAGCATTTTTAGAACCTTCTCTATTTTCACTGATAATGTTATCATTAATATTGTCATCATCATTAGAAGCATTTTTAGAACTTTCTCTACTTTCACCGCTAATGTTATCATTAGTATTATCATCATCATTAGAAGCATTTTTAAAACCTTCTCTACTTTCACCGCTAATGTTATCATTAGTATTATTATCATCATTAGAAGCATTTTTAGAACCTTCTCTACTTTCACCGCTAATGTTATCATTAATATTGTCATCACTATTATAAGTATTATTAGAATCTCCATTATTTTCACTAATATTGTTATTATTACTATTATTATTTATATTGTTATTAATATTATCATTACTATTATTAATGTTATCAACACTATAGTTATTTTTGTTTATAATGGTATTATTACTATTATTATTTATATTGCTATCTTTAATTTTACCATCATTGTTACATGTATTGCAAGAATCTTTATTATTTTCACTGATACTGTTATTATTATTACTATTATATATATTATTATCATGAATATTATTATTATTATCATTAAAATGAATGTTATTATTATTACAAATGTTCATATTATTTGTATTACTAATATTTACATTGTCATCAAGACTATTATTGTAATTAACTTTGTTATTTATGTTATCATAAATATTAGTATCATCATTATTTTTTGTACTATTTATTTTATCATTAATACATTTTTCATAATTAACATTATCTTTAACATTATTGTTTAAATTTATATCATAATTCAACTTAGTATTTTTATTTTCATTAACATTTAAATTTCTATTTGAATCACTATTAATATATTTTAAATTATTAGTATTTTTTGAATTTTCGTAATTTTTCTTTATTTTTTTGTCATATGTATTTGGAGAATTATCTACACTATTTTTTGATTCACTATAATAAATGTTATTTTTATATTTTGTTTTATTATTATTTTCATTATTTATGTTTTTTTTTGAGATATTATTAATAAAACTCTTTACATTATTCATTTCATTATGCACATTTTTATTTACATTTTCAGATATACTAGATTTGTTCAATTTATTTATATTTGATATATTATCTACCTCAATATCATTATCTTCCTCCATATTATGTTCTTTTATAACAAAAACAATTTAATTAAAAAATAATGTGCAATTTCATATATATATATTAGTAGAGATAAAAACAAAAAAAAAAAAAAAAAAAAAAAAAAGTTTTCATTTATGTAAGCATAACTTATATATTTTACAGTATATTTTACTTATATATTATATATATATATATATATATATATATATATATATATATTTAAAGAATGTAAAAGTAAAATATACTGTAAAATATATAAGTTATGCTTACATAAATGAAAACAATAAAATTGCAAAATGCAATATAGAAAAAAATATGAGGAAAAAAATATGATAGAAATAATTAAATAAATCAGAAAATTAATAAAATGAAAAATATAATAAAGATAAATGTATAATAAAATATAGATTAATTAATCCTTTAATATAGACCTATATTTTTCAATGAATTCAAAATAACAAAAAAAAAAAAAAAAAAAAAAAAAATTAAAATATAATAAAATAATAATATTTGTAATTTAATTATTTAAAAAGTTATGAAATTTCTAATATTAATTTAATATAAAATTTCATTATACATATTTTTCTTTTTTATATATTAAAAAAATAATGTATTTATTAAATAACAAAGGAATTATTAAGATGAATTTAAGTAATTTTTATTTCTTATTTTTCTCGTAAGATTGTTATTTATAGTATTAATGTTTAAAAGTAATATTAAGTAAATATATAAAAAAAGAAAACAAAAATTTAATTTGTATAATGTTAATGTTGCAATTATATAGGTTACTAATTTCTGTTAAGAATAAATATAAAAGTGGAAAAAATTTTTTAATTTTTTTATTCCTTGTTATAACTTGTATTCAGAATAATTAATTTTTAAATATAAATTTAATGATAATATAAAAAATGAAGTACAATGTTAAAAATATTTTGCTTAAATTAATTTTATAATAAAAGTGAAACTGTTTTTTTTTTCTTCATTATTTTTCATTCACACACAAAAATATAATGAAAAAGAAAATAAAACAAATTATGATATATATTTATATATTATTTAACTGAAAATTTTATGAAAAATTATATACATATTGACAATTTTTAAAGAAATATTTATATATAGCTTTATAAACTCCACATTTTTAAAATTCAAAAAATTTTGATATGAATTAAAATTAAATTGAAAATATAAAGCTATAAAACTTTAAATAAATAATTATATATAAGCCTCATATTTTAATAAAATGAAGGAAACATTTATAAAAGATAAAAATAAAAACAAAAAATATAATGCTATAGAATTCTTAAAAAGAATTGTTGAAAAAAAGAAAATTGTATTTTATTTCTAATAAAATATATTCTTAATAATATTTTTTCTCATTTTATATATATACAAATATAAAATTTCTAGTTTAAAAAAAAAAAAAAAAAAAAAGACTTGCCAACCAAATATTTTATATATATATATATATATATATATATATTTTTTTTTTTTTTTTTTTTTTTTTTTTTTGTTACAATAACAAAAAAAAAAAATATCCAAGTTTTAGTTAATCCATGATAATTTTATGATTTTGTTATTTTTCAAGATTATACAAAATGTGAATCTATATTTTTCAATGAAGAATATGATTTTCTATTTTAATATAATAATAAAAGGGTCTTTTTTTTTTAGCATTTGTTAATATAAAATTTTAAAATTTGTATTTATAGATAACAAATACCTTTTATTATTTTTTTAATAACTATGAAAAAAAAAAAAAAAAAATGATTCAATTATTTAATAAAGAAAATAATGAGTTTTAAAATTATACAATTTTTTTTTAATAAAATAACTTATATTTAAATTTTTTAACAAACAATTTAATTTATCAAAATGAATGATATATTTCTCAAGATTACATATATATAATTATTGAAAACATTTTATAAAATACACTTAATATTTAAAGATATCAATAACATATTCAAAAGAAGTAACAACATTTTAAAATAATTTTATTGTAAATATTTGAAACAGTATGTTAAAAAATTAATAACATATAATTTAATATATATATATATATATATAAAACGAAAAAAAAAAAAAAAAAAAGATAATAATTATATAAAATAATAAAAAATAATTAAAAAAAAAAGAATTACTAAATTAAATATAATAAAAAATAAAGAAAAAGTTAATTTTTTAGATAAAAAAAAAAAATAGCAATGAATGATAAGGGGTGTTCTTATAATATATACAAAAATAAACACGAGGATAAATTAAGTTATAAGGCATATAATATTAGTAGTAAAAAATATAATGAAGAAAACGAAAAAAATAAAAAGAAGATAAATAATTATAGCAATAAAAATCAAAGTAACGATTATAATATTATAAAACACAATTCTATTAACAGAAATAATTATAATTCTAATGATATTAACAAAAGTTTTAATAATTCTCCTTCAATTAAAAACAATATTAATTACAACTATGTAAGTAATAATGATGATAATAAATACAAGAAATATAAAAATAATGATGATTATTATAAATATCATAATAATTATAATAATGAAGGTGATGAAATTATTATGAAGAATTATTCTAAAAATATACCAAAAAGTAATGAGTTAAATAACAATTCACATGATAGTTCTAATAGAGGTTCTTATAATTACGAACATGCAAATCATAATAGTAATAATAAAAACAATACAAATTACACTTCTTATAGTAATATTTATAGTAATAATAATAATAATTATTATTATTATGATTTTAATTGTAGTAATAATTATGATAAAAATAAGAATTATAATAATGGGAATTATGATAATAAAATAAGTTATTCTAATAATGATGATTTTATTGAAAAAAATTATAACTTTAATCAAAATGTTAATAACAATGAAAATTGCCTAAATTATTCTTACAGTAATAATAAAAAAAATAATAATTCTTTTGATGAGAAAGAAGTAAATATCATTAAAAGTGATTCTAGAAATAGTAATCAGAATAATAAAAATACAAATTTCACTGAAAAAAAAAACAATGAATCCAATTTGTATCTCAATAAAAATGAAAATTATATAAATGGAAAAAATTTTTATGAAAATGAAAAAAATCAATCCGAAGAAAATATGTGTAAAAATAATAATACATGTTACAATGATAATCATAACAATTTTAATGAAAATAATATTATAAATAAGGATTCAAGTGTTCATAATCAAAATGTCAATGAAAATAAAAATTATGATGAACACGAAAGTTATAATACTTTACAAGAATTAAATGAAGAAGACAAAATTTTTTTAGAAAAATTATTAACATGTTGTGAAGAATCTAAAAAAGATAGTATTAATAAAGCAAATGAATGGATATTAAATAAATGTGATTATATAAACAACAGCAAAATTATATCCTTATATTTTTATAATAAAATATTAAAATGTATAAATTTTAAAAATAAATTAAATTTAGTTTTTTCTTATCATGAATTATTAAGAAATTTTATGTTAAAAAACAAAAAAAAAGCATTAAATGAATTTAAAGTATATATGAATTCAATAGTTCAAGATGCATATACGTGTGCATATTATAAAGATCATAATTCAATAAATGTTTTATTACAAATGGTTTATAAATGGAATGAATTATCAATTAATAATTTTCAGGAAACAAAAATGTTATTAAATATATTTCATTATGACAATAATTATCATCAAAATAATCATTTAGACAAAAATAGAAATGAACATTATTCTTCTTATAATACTTCAAATAAATTTTTAAATTCACAGAATTTTCAAAATCAAAATTTATCAAATCAAACTTACCAAAATAAAAATTATCAGAATCATAATTATCAAAATCAGAAAATGCCACCACCACCTCCTCCTCCTCCACTTGCTAAATCAAATTCTAATGAATTTTCAAAAGGACATAATTTTTATGAAAAATCTAAAAAAAATGATGGGGAAAATAAAGTAAGTTACTTAAACAATTCAACCATAACTAACAACAACACAAATAAAAATCCAGAGGATATTTCTGTTGGTTTTTTAGCTACACTATTAAAATATATTTCAAAAAAAGGGAAAAAATTACAAAACCCTTTAATTCCTTACACTCCTATAGATATTTCTTATACATATCAAACTCCTCCATCTTTAAATCCCTCAGAAAGATTAAATGAAAAAGTAAATGATTTTTATGATGAATTAAAACACATTATTAACAATAAAGATATTGAAAGCAGTGATGCCTCTGATTCAGATGAATTGAATGTTTACGAAAATTATAAAAAATTAAAAAATATAGACAAAAAAAAAAAAAATTTGAAAAATAGCAATAATAATTCAAAATTTTGTAATAACAGTGATAAATTAACTAATGATAAATATGATCAGAATAATTACTCAAGTGATACTAATACAACATTTTCATCTATTGAATTAATTGATAATTCAATGATTGAACTTTTATCTGATAGTAATAACCAGAAGAAAAATAAAAAAAGTAAAAATGTTAACTTTAGTCAAATAGCTATTGAAAATGCGCAAAATTGGAATGATGAAAAGGATCATAATAATTCTATTTTTGATTATTACTCTTTAGCTGTAAAAGAATCAAATGAAGATGATGTATTTGAAAATTATAGAAGAAATAAAGCTTATGTATATCATGAAACTATAGCTCAAAAATTTTATGATCTAAAAAATAAAGAAATATAATTATATATATTTCTTTATATATATATATTATTTTTTTTTTTTTTTTTTTTTTTATGCATATGTGACATTTATTAACCATATGCATATTTTTATTTGTTCTTATAATGATTAAATATGAACTTTCTTAGTTTTTTTTGTTTATATATATATATTTTTTTTTTTTAATTTAAATGTATAAATATTTCATTAAATAATAAAATAATAGTTTTTATATTATTAGACTAAAAATATTTTTTATATAAAATTAAAATATATATATATATATATAAAATGTCATCTTTTATATGATAAACATTCGTAAAAAGGACATTTTTAAAATAAATAAAATGATATTCTTATAAAAATCTGGAATTATTACTCTTATTAAAAAATTATATGCGAATGTATTAAAAAACAAATTTTATTTTATAAAAGTTGAATCATATAATATGTTTCTTTTTATTCAGATTCATTGAAGATATATAGAATATATTATTATAAAAAATATCATGAAATAAGTATGTTAAAAATATAGAAACCACGTATGATTTTATAATACTTATTAAAAAAGTTAGAACTGTTAGCATATTATTTATGATAAAAAGGAAAAATTCAGATTCATTAATTAATTTTTTTTTTACATTTTTGATATTTTCTATTAAATCCTTTTTTCTTATATTATTTTTTAGGCAATGTAAAAAAATGTCAAATAATAAAAATATCACATTATAGATAATTGAAAAGTATATAAAAAAATTATTTGACTTAATGAAATATAAAAATTGTTTTCCTATATTGTTATATAAGAGTATATTGTTATAATTTAATTTTATAAAACTAAAAAGTATAGAAAGAATTATTAATAATGAAAAATGCAACTTTTTCATGTTATTAATATTAAATTCTGACCTTTCTTTTAATGAATTATAATTTATATTTTTGTCTTTTATTACATTAAAGGACATGTTCTCATTATGATTAAAATTAACATCTTCTTGTAATATTTCCTTTTTACTTCCAAGATAATCCTCTTTAACATTTTTTATTTTGTCATTTATATTTTTTTGTTTTTCATTGTCCTCATAATTTTCATTATCTACATTTTTGTTATAATCAAAATTATTAGAATTATTATCAATCATATTAACACAGTTATTATTTTTCTCGTAATCCGTATTTTCATTTATAATTTTTTTTTTGTTGTTTACATTATTTAAAATTTTTCTTTCTATATTTTCACTCATATTATTTGAGAATTGTTCATAAATTTTATCATTACTTAAATTATCATTATTATTATTATTCTGTGAAATGTTATCATCTACTGATTTACCTAGTAATATGTTCATCCTTGATTCATTTTTTTTGAGTAATCTGTTTCTTCTTTTTAGAGAATTTTTGTCCATTTTCAAATATAGTTACAAAAATAAAATGTTAATATTTTATTTTATTATTAATTTTCTTTTTTTAAATATTATATATGAACTTTAAAAAAATAAAAATTTTAATTTAAAAATAACTTCATATTAATCTCTACACTTAAAAAAAAAAAAAAACATAAAAACTCTTTTTTCTTTCACATTTTTTTGCTTCCACATTCTATTTAATAATATAACTATATATATATTTGCTATTGTAATTAAATTTATACAAAATAAAATGTGAAAAAAAAATATCATTAAAAGGAAGAAATATTCTGCTATATTTTATATTTTCATTTTATTTTAAAATATTTTTTATTATAATTATTATAATAAAAACAAAAAAAAAAAAAATTATTTTCGAGTATTCACATAAGATAAGGAATTAAGGAATTTAAATTATATATATTTATATAATGTTTAAAATATAATATGCTTTCAAATTTTTTATTTATTCTATTTAAATATTTGGGTAATAAAAAAAAAAAAAAAAAAAAAAAAAAAAAAAAAAAAAAAAAAAAAAATTGCCCTCATTTTTTGGAAATTGAACTATTTTTATTAATTTTTTTTTATTTGATCATCTATTTTTAATGATTTATTCTTTTTGATAATTTTAAATATTTTTAATTTTTTTTCAAAATTTTAAAATATTCATAAAGGTTTTTGATGTTTTTTACTTATTTTTTTTGATTATTTATTACATAAAAAAATATCTCTGAAAAAATTAAAATATATAATTGATTAAATATATATTTTTAAATTTTTTTTTTTAAAAGTATATTATTTAAAAAAAGAAAAAATATATTTAATAAATAAATAGTTATGTTTTTAAGTACTTTATAAGGATACAAATGTATCGAGAAACTTGTTAAAAGATATTTATATGTTTTTATTTGGCACGTAAATTAATGTAAATATTTTATTATTTTACTTTTTTTTTTTTTTCTCTGAGATTTAGTATAGAACTAATGTATTATAATTATCTCTTTTTTTTTTTTTTTCTTTATTTATCAGTCAATTGGAAAATAATAATATAATTTCATTTTTTTTTAAATTTTAAAATGGCTGTTAAAATTGAATCATATTTTTCAAATGAGTTCATCAAGCCAGGTTATTAAGAGATTTTTTTTTAGAAATCTTACTAATTTGAAAAATATACGTATATATGATTTTTTATTTTAAAAAATCTTAATAATTTAGTTATTATATTTACTTTATATTTAAAAATATATATATATAATTACATTTATTTATTTATTCTGAATATTATATATATATATATTTTTTTTTTTTTTTTTTTTTAAATTGTAGAGGAAGAAAATGAAGATATAAAAACTGAAAATGAACAAATAACAGAAGAAGATAGTTGGGTAGTAATTGGTTCTTTTTTTGGTAGTCATGGATTAGTAAATCAACAAATTGAAAGTTACAATGATTTTATAGAATATAGAATGCAAGAAATTATTGATGAATATCCTCAAATAGAAATAAAACCACAACCACAATATAAATCTGATAAAGAAGAAAATAATAATATAATATATTGTTTAAAATTTGGTCAATTATCTTTAGATAGGCCATTTTATGATGAAAAAAATTTAACTAATAAAAATTTATGGCCACAAGAAGCAAGATTAAGAAATCTGACTTATTCATCAGCTATTTATATTGATATTGAACAAAGTACATATGTAATTGATGAAACTACTAAAAAACACATTTTAAAAGAAAAATTTATATATGAAAGAATAAATTTAGGTAGAATACCTTTAATGTTAAAATCTATGTTTTGTTGGACGAAAGGACTACCTGAAAATGAAATTACTGATATGGGGGAATGTTCATATGATCAAGGGGGTTACTTTATTGTTAATGGTGGAGAAAAAGTATTAGTAGCTCAAGAAAGAATGGCACATAATTTTATTTATGTATTTAAAAAAAAGCAACCATCTAAGTTTGGATGGGTGGCTGAAATAAGATCTCAAATGGAAAGATCTCAAGCTACTTCTTCGTTTTCAGTTAAAATGAAAACTAAAACAGGATCTAGAGGAAATAATACAAAAACAGGTGGCCAATTAGTAGCTACTTTACCATACATAAGAACCGAAATATCTGTTGGAATTTTATTTCGTGCTTTGGGATGTACTTCTGATAGAGATATATTACAAAGAATTGTATATGATTTTAATGATAAATTAATGATAAATTCTTTAAGAGAAACATTAGAAGAATGTATAGATTATCCAACTCAAGATGTATGTCTAGATTACATTGGAAAAAGAGGACCAACAGTTGGTGCATCGAGAGAAAAAAGAATTTTATATGCAAAAGAATTATTACGTAAAGAAGTATTACCTCATATGGGTACAGGACCAGGAGTTGAAAGTAAAAAATCTTATTTTATTGGTTACATGATTCATCGTTTATTATTAGCGGAATTAGGTAGAATTAAAGAAGATGATAGAGATCATTTTGGAAAAAAAAGATTAGATATTGCTGGTCCTTTAATGGCTAGTAGTTTTTCAACTTATTTTCGTAAAATGGCTAAGGATGTAAAGAGAGTATTGCAAAGGCAAATTGATAATAATAAACCTTTTGATGTAGCTGGTGCTATTAGAAGTTGTTCTCAAATAACTCAAGGGATGCAATATCAATTGGCTACTGGAAATTGGGGAAAGGATAAAGATGGAAAAGTTATAAGAACAGGAGTAGCTCAAGTATTAAATCGTTTAACCTATTCTTCTTGCTTATCCCACCTAAGAAGACTAAATACTCCATTAGGTAGAGAAGGGAAAATGGCAAAACCAAGACAATTACATAATACTCATTGGGGTATGATTTGTCCTTTTGAAACTCCAGAAGGGCAATCTGTTGGTTTAGTTAAAAACTTATCTTTAATGTGCGATATTAGTGTAGGTACTTCAACAAACAATATTTATGAATTTTTATCCGAATGGGGATTAGAATCTCTTGATGAAGTACCTCCTCAATTAATGAAGGAAAAAGTAAAATTATTTTTAAATGGTAAATGGGTAGGATGCTTTAATCAAATAGATAACTTAATTGAAACCTTATATGAATTAAGAAGAAGATGTGATATATCACCAGAAGCATCTATTGTGAGAGATGTAAATAGTAAAGAAATAAAAATATTTACAGATTCAGGTAGAGCTATGAGACCTCTATATGTAGTGAAAAATATTAATGGTAAAAACAAATTAAAATTAACAAAAGAACATGTAAATAATTTAGCGAAATATCCTGAAACTTATAATTGGGATTATTTAATTCAAGAAGGGATTATTGAGTATATTGATTGTGAAGAAGAAGAAACTACTATGATAAGTATGTTTATTGATGATTTAAAAACAGGAACGGGATATTATAATAATTACACTCATTGTGAAATTCATCCTTCTTTAATATTAGGAGTATGTGCATCTATCATTCCATTTAGTGACCATAATCAAAGTCCTCGTAATACATATCAAAGTGCCATGGGAAAGCAAGCTATGGGTATTTACGTTACAAATTTTAATATACGATTAGATACATTAGCTCATTTATTATATTATCCTCAAAGACCTTTAGTATGTACTAAAGTAATGGAGTATTTGCGATTCCGAGATTTACCAGCTGGTATTAATGCCATTGTTGCCATTATGTGCTATACCGGATATAATCAAGAAGATAGTTTAATTATGAATCAATCTTCTATTGATAGAGGATTATTTAGAAGTGTTTTTTATCGTACTTACACAAGTGAAGAAAAACAACAGGGAAGTTTAATAATAGAATCTTTTGAAAAACCATCTGTACGTGTTGTTAAAAATTTAAAAAGAGGAGATTATACTAAATTAGATGATGATGGATTAATAGCACCTGGTATTAGAGTTTTAGGAGATGATATTATTATAGGAAAAGTATCTCCGAATATTGAGGATGAGGATGAAATTATTATACAAAAAAAAACACAAAATACTCAAATATATAATAATTCTACGACTGTAAATAGTTCTACTAATAAAGATTCTCCTGCAAGTAGTAATAACAATGTTTATTCTTCTTCCAATTATATTTCATCAAATGCTTCTGATACTTTACCAGATTCTCCTATTAATGATAAATCTGGAAATAGTCCTGCTTCTCCAAGTATTGTATCTTCAAGTCCTTCAAGTACTACTTTTTTCAGTAGTGGAAACACATTAACGAGTACAAATAACGCCAAATACGGAACCACCATTGTTAGTAGCACTAAAGAAGATATGGAGATACCCACCTTAACAATCAGTTCTTCAAATATATTAAAACAATATAAAAAAGATTGTTCTTTAAGTTTACGTTCAAATGAAAATGGAGTAATAGACACAGTTATGTTATCTTCTAATAGTCGTGGAAACAAATTTGCAAAAGTGAAAGTTCGCTCTGTACGTATACCACAGATTGGAGATAAATTTGCAAGTAGACATGGTCAAAAAGGAACAATAGGAATAACTTACAGAACAGAAGATATGCCTTTTAGTGAAAATGGAACATTTCCTGATATTATTATGAATCCTCATGCTGTCCCTTCTCGTATGACAATTGGACATTTAGTTGAATGTTTAGCAGGAAAAGTTGCAGCAATAGAAGGGGAAGAAGGAGATGCAACCCCATTTTCTAAAATTACGGTTCAAGAAATATCTCAAAGGTTACATAAATTAGGTTATGAAAAATATGGAAATGAAATATTATATAATGGTCATAATGGAAAAATGATAAAATCTAAAATATTTATTGGACCTACATATTATCAAAGATTAAAGCATATGGTTGAAGATAAAATACATGCAAGGAGTAGAGGACCATTAACTATGATTACGAGGCAACCAACTGAAGGAAGATCAAGAGATGGTGGTTTGCGATTTGGTGAAATGGAAAGAGATTGTATGATATCTCATGGTGCTGCAAAAATGTTAAAAGAAAGATTATTTGAAGAAAGTGATGCTTATCGTGTTCATGTGTGTGATAATTGTGGATTATGTTGTATCGCCGACATCAACAAAAATGCATATGAATGTACTGTGTGCAATAGTAAAACAAGCATTTCACAAATATTTATTCCTTATGCATGCAAATTATTATTTCAAGAATTAATTACTATGGCTATATATCCAAAATTGGTTCTAGAAGATGTATAAAAAAGTAAAAATAGGAAAACAATCTAAAAAAAATAATAAATCTCAGTAAAATAATTTTTTAAAAAAAATATGAATGAATAATTTTAGAATTCTGTGATCATTTTTTTACATATAATTTTTTGTATATTTATTTTTCTATATTTTTTTCTTAATTAAAATTTTATTTTTAAAAAAATAATATTCATGTCTTTTTTTTTTTTTTTTTTTTTTTTTTTTGTAACATTTGAAAATATTTATAAATGTGTTAATTAGTAAATAAAATTCATTTTATCCTTTTTTTTTTTTTTCAAATTATTTCAAAACAATATATATATATACATATAAATAAGTAATATATTCTTCTTATTTTAGTAAATTTAAAACCACTGTAATCATAGATCAAATTAAAAAAATATGTGAAAGTTCATATATATATATATATGAATTATTCATATATTTTTTAAAAATTTAATTTTGGTAATTTTATTCTAGAGATTTATTTAAGATAAATTTTTTGTTTTTTTGAATTTAAAATAAAAAAAAAAAAAAAAAAAGAGAATTAATGCAAATCAAATTAATTTTTGCTTAAGAGTAAATAATAGTAGATATAAATGAGTACATTTAAAATTTATAAAAAATAAAAAAAAAAAAAGGTAGAAGAAGGTAAAATATAAAATGAAAATAAAGTAAATGAAGATGATAAATTATAATCAAATTCTTTTTTTAAATGATTAATTCATCTAATGGTATCTTCATTTCTTTAGCAATATTTCTAATAGTTTCTTCAGGAACTTGAATAACTAACTTGGTATATGGATCTAGAGATTCATAATTCATTGAATTATTTGATTCACTAAAAATGTTATTAGCTATAGAAGAAAAATTATTAGTTGTGTTTAAAAGAGTACTACCACAATATCCACTCCATTGGACTCCATTCATTAAGCTATTTCTTACTAAGCAAGATAAATTATTAGGAGAAGAAAAAGTGATAAAACCTAATTGTATTAATGTATTTATTTGTTGACATATTAAACTATTTAAGATTAGCTGCTCATCAAAAAAGCATACCAATAAACAATCTGTTAAACATAGCCATCTAATAAAGGTAAAATTTTTAGGAATAGATTGACCTATTAAAGTTAAAATAGATTCATTTTTACTTTTTGTTTTTCTTTTTTTAGGTAAACTGAAGGCACCTCCTTTTACAGTTGCATTAAAAAATCTTTTGTCTGTTATTGGTAAATTTCTTGAAGCTAAATAAGCTCCTACTAACAAAATTTTTGAATAAAAGGATAAATCTATTTTATTTTTTAAATTATTCTCATTTAAAAAAACAGAATCAATTAATTCAAAAGTAAAATGACTGGCATGATTATAAGTAGCTACTCGAATGTGAGTATCAATATTTCTTTGTAATGCATTCATATTTTCAACAATTGGTTCAAGTGTTCCATCCAATATTGGCCGTATAAATAGTGGCCACATGTGTGAACAAATAAATAGTAATTCATGAAAATCACTTTTGTAGTCTTTATATGAAACGTTAATAATATAATCTACATATCTACACCAAATATCATAAATAACATCATTTTCTAATATTACTTCCTTTCTTTTAATGAGAAATTCTTTTTTTTTTTCTTTTGAATAATATATTTTTAAGTCCTTATCATTAATAGTTAATAAAGATTCAAAACACATAGTATCATATAACCTGTATAAAATATTTTTACACATGTCTGCCGTATAGGAATCAAACCAAACTGTTGGTGGTTGTGGAAGTCCATCAAAGATTTCATCAGGTAATGGAGATCTATTAATTAAAATAACACATAATCCTCTTGTTGTTTTATTAACTTTCGTTAAATCATTATATGGACCTTTAATATATTCGTGTATTCTAGTTAAAGCATAAAACAAATCAGGATGAGTTCTAACTAAATATCTAATATTGTCTAAAATAAATACTACTGATCTATCATAAAGTTTGTCTTTATAATAATTCTGATTAGTTGTCATCTTTATATTTTTGATTTCATTATTATTTTTATTTATTGGACTATTTTTCTTATTATAAGTATTTTCATTTTTTTTTATATTTCTGTTATTTTCATTTTCTGGTTTAAATGATAAAAGCATATGCAATATACTAAAAAAACTATCTGTACTAGAAACGTGATTAGGTACTAATTTAGTTGGATCATATGAATAATTAATTACATTATTCATTTTTTTATATTCATTAAATTCTTTAAGAAGATTAATACTTAAATCTTTTAGAATGGTATGATATATAACATTTCTGGCTGATCTACCTGATTGATAAACAGCCATTAAGCAATTAACATATGCAAAAGGAACATTCATTAATTTAATAAAATTTTTTACTACCTTTGTTTTCCCCATTCCTGGTAATCCCAATATTTGAATAACTGAAATAGGATCTCTTAAATCACCCAGCAAATTAATTAACCTATGCAACTGTACTTGTCTTTCAAAACCACATGTTTTTAAGCAACTAATATAAGAATTTAAAATATCATGTGGTATTGCAGGAATTAATTCTTTAAAATACTCTTTATCTATTATTTCATTCAATTCTTCATCATATAAATGGCTATCTTTATCCATACTATCTGAACAACTCTCATCCTCGTAATCATCTATATCATAGTCATTTGAAATTTTATAATCATCACCATTTTCTTTTTCATCACTATCATTTTCTTCCTTATCATCACTATCATTTTCTTCCTTATCATCACTATCATTTTCTTCCTTATCATCACTATCATTTTCTTTTTCATCACTATCATTTTCTTTTTCATCACTATCATTTTCTTTTTCATCACTATGATTTCCTTTTTCATCACTATCATTTTCTTCCTTATCATCATCATTTTCATTTTTTCTTAAACCTATAATATTTAAATGACTTGAATATTTATATTCCGAATCAGCAGCATATATTTTTTTATTTTCTTTTTTTATGTTATTATCATTCAAGTTGTTAAGAAATTTCGTTTCATAACTCACTTTAGCATAATATTCTTCATTTTTTTTTTTTTTTGATGGGCTAAAGCTATATATACATTCTTCAGCTGTCTCATTGCAATCGTCTGAATTTATGTCACTTTCGTTATTTTTTAACTTGTGCATTTTTTTTATGATTTAATTCATTTTAAAAATAAAAGAAAAAAGAAAAATAATGTATTTTAAGACTTAAAAGTAATAAAATGTATAATGCACCTATTATTTAAAAAAAAAAAAAAATAATAAGTAAATAAATAAAAAAAAAAAAAATAGTACTAGATAATTCTTTAAAAAAACAATAAACAAAAATACAACAAAGTCTAAGATAAAAAAGTAAATAAAATAATATTAAAGAAGAATAAGTCTAATGTTAATAAAAAAAAATTAGCGTCATATTTTACTTAAAAGATAAAAATCTGCTATTTATAAAAATATGATAATAAATTAATGAGATAAGGAATGAATAGAAATTATTATTTATAATAAGATGGAATATTAAATATGTAAAAGAAGAAACTCAATGAACATTTTTTAAATTATTTTAATCTACAAAATATTTTATTAAAAATAATTATAATTAATAAGAAATTGTATTTAAAAAATAATATATTAAGAAAACAAATGATAATATTAATAATCAAATATTTTTTTTTTTAATAAATGTTTATTATTCTAAATCATTTTTATCTAATTATGTAAAATGCATTTATTTCATCTTATTAGAAACACCAATTTATAAATATATATATTTTATTTCTTATTATTTTATATATATAAATATAAATATATATATATATATATATGTATGTATATAATGCTCTTATGTATTCAAATAATTTTATATTTTTATTTAGAATACTAAAAATTTTCAATTATATTTTGTTTTATATAATTTCATTTTATTTTTTTTTTATGTATTCTGTGGAGTGTTTTTCTATAAGAAAATGACAAAATTCTGAAAAGTTTTTACTTAACATTTAAAACGAGAATTAAAAAAAAATTAACAAAAAAAAAAAGTAAAATAAAATATTAAAAAACTATAAAAAAATAACAGACAAATATGTGCATATTTTTGAGACAAATAATATTAATGAAAAAGAGAAAATTATTAAAAATAAAACTTTTATAATTAAAAAAATATAAAAAAAAAATAAAACATAAATTAATAATCGAAACAAATAAATAAATAAAAGAATAAAAGAAATTATAGATGCTATTAATGATAAAAAAAAAAAAAAAAAAAGAAAAAAAAAAAAAAAAAAAATTTACAAAAGAAATACATAAATACTATAATTAATTTATTTTATTTTTATATTTATAAAAAGTATACTCATTTTAAGATAGAAGTATAAATATATATATTTATATATGCATATATTTTGTATATGATTAAATTGTTAAGGTTTTTTCTTTATATTTTTATCAATTGGAAAAAACCTAAAATAAATTTGTATAAATAAGAATAAAAATTTTAAATTATTTACATAGATAATTGATAAATATCTAAAATATTTTTTTTATTTTATACTTAATTTAAATACCATAAATAAGAAAACGAGTGTCCAAACACTTCAATAATTAACTCATTAAATGATTTCTTCTCTCCTTTCTCCTTTTTTAAAAATTCCACACCTAAATTAGTATTTACAGATATAATAATTATGACATTTAAAAATTATAATTTTTTTTTTTTTTTTTTTTATTTATATTTATAATTATAATAAAGATAAAATAATATATATTTTCTTTTGTTATATATTTTTTAAAATTAAAAAACCAGTTGTATTGGTCCTAATGGCACAATATTGATCAACTAGCATAACAAAAGCAAGCATTCCAAATATAAGGGAGCATATTGCATTTAACTTAAGAAAAAAAAAATAAATAAAATAAAGCTAACATTTAATAACATCAAATTATAATAAAAAAAAAAATGTAATTTATTATCCATTATATTACTAAAATTAGAAAAATATCCATTCTTGATATTACACACTGTAGAATCAAAAAGTAAAAAAAAAATTAAAACATGAACAAAGATATCTATTTACTATTTTCAAATTACTATTTCCCTTTTTAAATTAAATTGGATCTTAATACATGTTATAATTTTATAAATAATAATAAAACTACAATTCAAACACATTAATAGAGAATACTTTAAAAAAAAAAAAAAAAAAAAAAAAAATTATAAATTGATATACTACATTTCTTCTTTCTATATATATTTATTAAATTAATTTTAATTTTTTTTTTTTTTTTTTTTTATTATATATACAAAATTTAGAAGAATAAAATATTTTTGGTTATATAAGCCAACGCAATTATTAATCCACATGCCTATATTTTAAATATAAAAAAAAAAGTTTGTTAAAAAATATACAACATAATAAATTAGTAAGATAAAATAATTAATCTATTATCTTTTTTTATTTTATTTTTTTTTTTTTTTCTATATCAGCATAATATAAATTGTAATATTTTTGATAGTTTTACAATGATGATCCATTTTAATTATACATTTATTACAAGCTGAACAATGATGAGATCTTTTTATTTTTAATAAGTTACATTTTTTACACATTTCTATTTTATTGTTACATTCAATTATATTTTCTTCTGTAATTTCTATCAAGAAAAATAAAAAAAAAAATGAATGTAAAAAGAATAAATACGTAAAAAAAATAGATTAAAAATAAAAATTATTAAACCTGAATGACTTAAAGTTCCTGGATTTTTTAAAAGACATTTTATATAACACCAGAGAGTCATAAAAGACGAAAACCAAAATGAAAAAAGAAAAAATATTTTTATTTTTATTCTAGAAAAAAATACAAATTTTAAATGAATATAAATTCTAAAATTTACTTGAATTTTAAATTGAAATGCATGAATATATAACTATTTAAAAATATGAGAAAAAAAATAAACATTTAATAAATGTTTTTAGCTATGTATGATAACGAAAACATAATCACATTAAAGTATATAATTTATTTTTCTACAACATTTTAAAAAAAAGTAATTTTTTAAAAATGAATATTTTAAATTTCATTGAATATTCTTTTTCTTTTTTACGTGAAGGTTAATATAAATTTAGAACACAAATAAATGGATTGTAAAATTAAAACATATGTCTGTTAATTAAAATAAAGAAAAAATTATAATATTAGTAACATTATTTTTCTTGAATTTTCATAGAATTATATATCTAATCAAATTTAATACTAGAAAAACATAAAAAGATTTATATAATGTATAAAATGTTTCCTTTATATTTGGTTTCATCTTAATGAAAAGTTATAGATTCAAATAAAACATTGAGAAATATATATGTATGCATATTCTTTTTTTAACAAAAAAAAAAAGAAATTATAGAGAAAAAATAATTTTTTCTTCAATCAAGAGTATATAAAAAGAATTTTAGAATAAAACTAAACTTTAATGAAAAAATTTTTAATAGACGAATGAAAGTAGTTTTATTTTATCAGAATATATCTCATTTAAAAAAAAAATAGATATCACATATAATAAAAAAAAAAGAAATAACAAACATAATAAATACAATATTTTAAAATAATAATAAAATTATAATCAAAACTATAAAAAATAAATAAAAGAAAATTTCATATTTTACACATATATATTTTTATTATTATAATTTTTTTTTTTTTTTTTTTTTTTTTTTTTTATTACACATTCATAAAAATGCACAAAAATATTCCTTTTTTTTTTTTTTTTTTTTTAAATTTTTTTGATAAAATATTTGGGTGTTAAAAAAATAATTATAATAACTCATACTTTATATAAATATCATTCCATTTGAAATTTATGTGAATATATTTGAAATATTTAATAATTTTTTTTATTTATATTTGTCATTTGTAAAAAAGTGTAAAAGAGGATACAAAAAATTATTATTTTTATTTTTGTTTATTTGTTTCTTTACGAAAAATTAATATTTTTTGTCTGTTAAAAATAAGTGTAATTTACAATTACTACACCATTTTGTTTATTTTTGAGGAAAGTAGAAATCTTATTAGGTTATTTTTTTCTTTTAAAAATATGTATTTTGATAATGTAACAGAAAAATAAAATAACAAAATGCTATATAATGAAAAAATATTTTTCTTAATATTTGATTTGAAAGAATTAATTACATTATAGTTTGTAAAAATACATATTAGAAAAAAGATGTTTAATTAAATAATAAAATTTATTATTTTTTTTTAAATTCTTATTATTTTGAATGTATTTTTTTTTTTTTTTTTTTTTTTTTTTTTTAGCTATTTATATAATTAGATATTCCCTTTTTCTTTTAATTCTATTTTCATGCTTAATATATAATTAATATGAATAAAAAGTTATCATTTTACTTTTAATATTATCATATTTTTTAAAATCATTACATATATAATTTTAATGTTAAATTTTTTTTTTTTTTTAGTTATTTATTATTATATTCTTTATATTTTTTTGAAATAAAATAATCAAAANAGAAAAAAGATGTTTAATTAAATAATAAAATTTATTATTTTTTTTTAAATTCTTATTATTTTGAATGTATTTTTTTTTTTTTTTTTTTTTTTTTTTTTTAGCTATTTATATAATTAGATATTCCCTTTTTCTTTTAATTCTATTTTCATGCTTAATATATAATTAATATGAATAAAAAGTTATCATTTTACTTTTAATATTATCATATTTTTTAAAATCATTACATATATAATTTTAATGTTAAATTTTTTTTTTTTTTTAGTTATTTATTATTATATTCTTTATATTTTTTTGAAATAAAATAATCAAAATATATAAAAGAAATATTGTCTATTCTATTTTAATGTGTTATGTTAAAACGAAAAAAAAAAAAAAAAAATTGAAATAAAATATAAGTGCTTATATTACCTATGAAAAAACATTATTAACATCTCACACACACATATATATATATTTATACAATATATATTTTTTTTCCTTTTTTGTAAAATAATATTGTTTATATATTTTTTTAAAAAAATTAAATTTTTTTTTTTCTTTTTTATGATGAATAATAGTAGTGATTTTATAGACACTAATAAATTTAGTGATACTATTTTTAAAGTGTCCAAAGAGATTCCAACTGAAAATTTGTGCAAAAATATGATTAAAAAAAATAAAAAAGACATAGTTTGTACTATGAGTAAAAATTTTATTTATGATAAAATTCATAAGGAAGAAATTGCATATAATAATATGGAAAATATAGAAGAGAAGGGGCATAATGCAAATGTAACATGTGAGATTAATGAAAATGCAGAAGAAGAAATTAACGAAAACATGCTAAACTCAATGAATGAAAATGCAAATATTGAAAAAGTGGGGATAACAGAACCTGTAGATAATTCAGATTTCCATGAATATATATACATAAGTGAGCATTTAAAAATTAGAAAAGATAATAAGATATTTGTAACTCGTGCATTGAATGATTATATTAATGAGTATATTTCTATAATTTATATGTATAGTAATTCTTTTATTAAAAATAAAAATAAAAAAGAAGATACATTAGTGAATTTAGGATTAAAACTAAAATATTTAAGATATAAAGATAATATTAAAAAAAAGAAAAAAAAGGAAAAACGTAAAAAGCTTTTATCATGCAGTAATGTGAATAATAAATTAAATAACAAGTTAACGAATGATGAATTACTAACTCACAAAAAATTAAAAGAGTTTCCTTTAAAAGATATAACGTCATTATCTTCCATTTCCCCCTTTTCTTCTTCATCCTCCAATTCTTCTTTCTCATCTAAAAGTTCTGAAAAATCTTCTCAAAGTAGTTACTTAATTTCTGATTCATCCAATTCTGATGAAAATTTTTCTGAAAACTCTGAAACATCAGATGAAGAAATTTTAAAAAATATAGAATTTGATGAAGAAGAACTTTCTGAACTTAAAAAATTAGAAAAGGCAAAAAATGTTTATTTTAAGTATGTAGATCAAATATTTGTAAGATATGATATGATGACTAATTTTAATTTAGGTTTTTTTGAAAATTTAATTAATACAGCATTTAATTTTTCAAGTCTTTTAAAAACGAAAGATAAAATTGAAAGCTCTATGATGGAAATAAGAAATTTTTTTTCAGACAAAGATAATATAAAAAAAATTGAATTAAATCAAAAAAAATTAAGAACAGACGTTATTAACTCAATGTTTGGTTTTCATATAATAAATGAAAGTCAACCAATGAAAATCCCAATAAAATGTATGAATAGTTCTAAATATAAAAATCAACCTATATCTAACATATTTGCTTATAAGTCACGCGCAAATAAGAACAGAGTAGATACAGTTTTTGATAAACTTTATGACATAAAAGAAGAAAAAAAAATTAATAAAAGAGAAACAACTAAAAAGGTTTTAGATAAAAATAAGGTGGAATTAACTTTCAATCAAGATGCAAAGAAAATAGATATAGTTGTCAAGAATAATTTAGAAGAGTATATAAAAAATATCCAAAAGAATTCTCAAATACATAACAAAATGACAAGTTTAAAACAATATATATTAACATCTAATTGGAATGATTTGAAAAAACATAATAATTATATATTTCTATTTAATGAAGAAAAAAGAAGAAATAAGATAAGTATTGCAAAATTATGCTATAATCAGATGAAAGCAGTTGAACAAAAAAGAAGGGTTATATTAGAAAAAGAAGAAAAAGAAAGAATGAGATTATTAAAGGAAAATGATATGGATGCATATATTAAGTTAATAAAAACAGCTAAAAATAAAAGATTACAGGAATTATTAGATATAACGGATGAATTTCTCAATAATATGTCTAAATGCGTTTTACATCAAAAAAAAGACACATTTAATGAAAAAAAAGATGATGATATAGAAGATAAAATATGCTACGAAGAAAATACCAAAAATATGCAACAGTCAAATTATAAAAATGCTAGAGAAAAATATTATAATGTTTCCCATACTGTCAAGGAAAAAGTAAAGCAGCCATCCATTTTAATTGGAGGTACTTTAATGAAGTATCAGTTAGAAGGATTAGAATGGTTAATATCATTATATAATAATAATTTGCATGGAATATTAGCTGATGAAATGGGTTTAGGAAAGACAATTCAAACTATAAGTCTATTTGCATACTTAAAGGAGTTTAAAAACAATATAAAAGTTAAGAATTTAATTATTGTTCCTCTATCTACTCTTCCTAATTGGCTTAGTGAATTTAGTAGATGGTGTCCATCTTTAAATGTAATTACATACAGGGGTACTAAATTAGAAAGAAAAAATATAGCAAAGCAACTAATAGAGAGTAACTTTGATATATGTTTAACTACATTTGATTTTGTCATAAAGGAAAAAACAAGTCTTATGAAAATATCATGGAATTATATAGTCGTTGATGAAGGTCATCGTATGAAAAATAATAAATCAAGATTTCATTCAATTTTATCGGAATTTAAAAGTAAGTATCGTGTACTATTAACAGGTACTCCATTACAAAATAATTTATCAGAATTATGGTCACTTCTTAATTTTCTTTTGCCTAAAATATTTTCTTCATGTGTTGATTTTGAGAAATGGTTTGTAAGGCCACTTCATAATGAAAAGGACATTTATGAAACTATAACAGAAGAAGAGCAGCTATTAATTATTAATAGATTGCATAGTGTTTTGTTGCCATTTATGTTAAGAAGAGTTAAAAAAGATGTATTAAAATCATTACCAAAAAAATATGAATACAATGTACATATTGAATTATCTTTATATCAAAAAATTTTATATAAACAAATTCAAACAAAAGGATTTAAGCAGGTTAATAACAATGGGTCTATTACCACTAAAAATTTTCAAAATATTGTTATGCAATTAAGAAAAATTGTTAACCATCCATACTTATTTTTATATGATTATGAAATTGATGATATGATGATAAAATGCAGTGGAAAATTTGAAGTTTTAGATAGAATGTTACCCAAACTTTTAAAATTTAAACACAAAGTATTAATATTTTCTCAAATGACTAAATTAATGAACATTTTATGTGACTATTTAGAATTTAGAGGATATAAATATCATAGATTAGATGGAAATATAGGTTTGCAGGAGAGAAAAAAAATTATTGATGAATTTAACAAGACAGGTAATGTGCAGGATAATTCAAATGATGAAAATAAAAATGAAGACAATGATAGAAGAGAATATGAAAACAGTAATGAAAGTATAAGTAGATATGAAAATCAAAATAAAGAGAGTATAATAAAGAATAATGAAAAGGATTGTAATAATAAATCTAACTGCGGAAACAAAGATACAATGATATTTATCTTATCTACAAGATCAGGCAGCTTAGGTTTAAATTTACAAACAGCTGACACGGTCATAATATTTGACAGTGATTTCAATCCTCATCAAGATATACAAGCAATGTGTAGGTGTCATAGAATAGGTCAGAAAAATGTTGTTAAAGTCTTTCGGTTTATAACATTATCTGGAGTAGAGCAATTAGTTTTCAAAAAAGCACAGCATAAGTTAAGTATTAATGATAAAGTTATACAGGCAGGTCTATTTAATAAAATATACAATGATGAAGACAGGCAAAATAAATTAAAAAATATTATTCAAAGAAATCAAAACAGCGATATTACTTTGCAACCTACTAATCCTTTATTATTAAATTATTATATGGGAAGAAATGAAGAAGAATTAGAGTATTTTCTTAATTTTGATAAAAATTATTTTGGAGAATATTATTATTCTCTTTTAAATTCAATGAACCATGAAAATGCAAATCATGGCCAATTTACCTATATGAGTGAAGATGAAAAGGAAGAAAATAATCCCTACTTGAAAGAAATTAAAAAGAAAGAAGAAAAAGATGATGTTTATCAAAATGAGGATGAGGAAACGGATGAAATTGAAAACAAAGAACAAGATTTAGAAGAAAATGAGTATATTAATGAAAAAAAAGGGGAAAATTTAAATTATACTATTTCAGAAAAAAAAGAAGAAAATAAGGAAAAAAAATGTGAATCAATAAAAGATAAAACAAATGTAGAACAAAATGAAAGACAATATGGAGAAATGAACAAGGAGGAAATGATAGATAAAGATAATTTAAAAAAAAGAAAATTTGATAATATTTCAAAATATAGAGAAAAATATAATGATGAAGAAGAAATAAAGGTAGAAAATTATCAAAGTGACATATCAAATTCTTTTAATAAAAAATTAAAAATAAGCATGAATATGATATATAAAAAGGATAATAAAGAAAATCAGTCATTAGATGAAGATATTAATATGAATGTTAATCTAAATGAAAATAATGATGTAAATGAAAATGAAGAAGAAGATTATTACAGTTATATATTGAAAGAACAAAATCAAAATGAAATTGAAAAAATATTAATTAAATCAAATAAATTAATTAATAAAGATGAGTTACCATCATATCTATTTTATGAAGACTCTAATGAAATTCATGAAATGAATCTCAAAAGAAGAAGAAAAGTTATAAATGCAAACTTGATGGAAGAAGAAAAATTAACAGAAAAACAATTCTTAAAGTTAATAGATTCTACTACTTCAAAATGTTCAAGTAATGAAAAAAGTTTTGTAAAAATAAAAAGCACAGAAAAAAAAATAGAATATAAAAGTGAATCAGAGTTTTCATATAAGAAAGAAAGTTTAAATAAATTGGAGAATAAAAAAGAAGTAAATAATATAGAAACACCATATAAAATTAGGAGTTTAATTAAAAAAGAAAGCACTATCAAAGTTAATAATCCTTATAATATGAGAAGTTCAAGTAAAAAGGAAATTCCATATAATATGAAAACCTTAAGTAGAAAAGAAAATCCAATTGATACCTATTCACCTATAGGTTCAACAAATAAATATTCATCAAAAAAAGGAAAAAGAAAATATAATGTAAATGAAACAAAAGAAGAAAAAAATAAAAAAAATAAAATAAAAAAACATTCTTAAATGGATGAAAAATATATTTTAAGTATTCTAAATATATTTATACATTTAATATTTTAAAATTTTATTTATAAACTTTAATTAACCTATTGATTCTTTAAATTTATAAGCTATAATTGTTATTCATTCTATTATTAATTATTAATAATTTTAATACAAAAAAAATGTTTCGCTAGGAAAAAAAAAAAAATAAAAAAAAAAAAAAAGAGAAAAAGAAATATATAAATGAATTTTTTTATAATTAGAAAAATGTTTTAAAATGTATGAAATAATTTAATATATATATATAAATGTAAAAATCATTTGTTCATATTAATCTGAAAGCAAAAATAAAAAAAAAAAAAGGACTGTATTGTTAATCTATAAAAAAACCAAAAAAAAGGGATTATAAGTTAAACAAATTTCCTTTTTATGCAAATATCTATCTGAAATGGATATTGAACATATTCACTTACTATTTCATTTTTTGAATCCTGAAAAAAAAGTAAAAAAAATAACTTGTTTTTTATGGAATGTATATATATACTTTTCATATATAGTTAAAAAATATAATTAGTATATGCATATTTATTTTTAAAAAAGTTACAAGTTGTGTTAAAATAGATAGTATTTGTTTATGAAATTTAGAAGAAAGAACGTTTTTATTGTTGTTCATAATTTTTATTGTTTTCAAAGATAAGTTAACATAAGAGGAGCATAATTCATAAGTTTTATATATCAATAACAAATGGTTGTATGTTAGTTTATTTAACAAGTATTCTTCATTTAAATTTTGAAAAAATTTATTATTATTATCACTATTTTTATAGTTTCCTATTATGTAATTAAAAAAAAAATTGTTTATTATTATAATTAAGTAACGCGAATCCCTCAATTTACTAAAATAATCATTTGTATAGTTATTTAATATATTTTCAGAATTCTTATTTTTATAATTTCCATTGAAGAAAAATTCACTATTATTCTCTTTATTTAATTTCTCATTTTTCATAAAATAGTCTTCATGGAGTAAAAAAGAATTGTCATTATTAATCATGTTCTCATCATATTTATTTTCACCATTGTATAATTCAACCTTTTCATTTTTAATATTATTATCATAACATGTAAAATTATAGGAATTGAAGTTAGCATATTTTTTATTTCTATAAATATTTTCTTCCTTTTTGATAATTATATCATTATTAATTAAATGCATGTCATTTTTTATATTGTTATTGTCATTATATATTAAAAAATTATTGTCCCTACATATAGGTTCAATGGTTTTTCTTTTATTTTCATTTGTTTTTTCACTTTGACTTTGATGATATTTTAAATTACTGTTTTGAAATTCGTGTATTTCACTTTCTACTTGTGCTATATTTTGAAATGATATATTTTCTTTTAATTTATCACATGATGGTATTATAATTTTATTTATTTTATTTTTTAGTTCATCCTTTTTTTTTTTCTCCTTCTTTTTACTGTATTTATTATTCTTTTTTCTCTCATATATTTTTAAATCATGCATATATATATTTTCTTCATTATTTTGAAGAATATCATCTTTTTCGTATCTATAAAAAATATTAAAGGGTTTCTTTTGCTTTGTGAAATGTTGTTGGCATTCTTGATCCTCATTTTTATTTTCATAATTATAAATTTTATAAAATTTATCAAGAACATGAAAAAACAAAGATAAAAAAATGTCACTATTATATCTATATATATGAAAACTAAATAATAAATTAATTTGAATTAAAGATGATAAGTTATTTGAAGATATTAGTTTTTGCAATGAATATTTTTTAAATATGTTATATTTACTGGATAAAAGAAAAAAATTAGAAAACATTTCCTTTGATTCTAAATGAAGAATTACAAAGCATAATGTGTGAAAATCTTTTTTTTTTATAAAATAGAATTTACTTTTAATTAATGAAAAAAAATATTGAGACCATTTGTTATCTATATATATATTATTTTCTATTAATATTTTCATAAATAATAATAATTTTTTTATTTTTATATAATCAAAATTTCTAAAATATTTGTTATCCGAAACATTTTCTTTAATTTTTATAGAGGCAAAATTCAAGGTACTACAAGCATTTCCATTGTGAGAAAGTTTCTCTATTTTATTTTTTTTTTGTGTTATAATATCCTTTTTCATTTTATAAATTAATTTTGTTTTTTTTAGAAACAAATAATTTATATTTAATTTTTTTCTACTATTTCTAATAAAAGGTTTATATTTGTTAAGTATTTCATATAATAATTCATTATTTTTATAATTTAAATTATATAAATTAATTGTAATTTTAACAAGAGTATTTGAATTCACTGTGTTTAAGTTTTCCATAATATAATTAGAAATAATATCTAAAAACTTCTCATCATAATGATTGTTTTTTGAAAAAATAGAAATAATTTTATTAATATCTCGTATGCTATATTCATTTATATTTTTGCATACATCTTTTTTTATAGAACTAAAAGACATTTTATACACCTTAATTGGCTCTTTTATTTTCATTAAATACTTTATTATAATTATAAGTTCTTTTGTAGTGAAATATTCATAATTTTTCTTCAAATAATTTTTTATTAAACTTATAAAATTATTATTACATATGTTTGTATTTTGAGTTATTTTAATATAATTTATTAATATATTTATATCAATTTTTTTACTTAAAAATAAAAAAATGCATTTTTCTAAATAGTAATCACAATTTATCATTGATTTTTTATATTTTCTTTTCTTAAATTTTGAATAAATTAAATTTACATAGCCTTTTTTTTTTAGATAAAAAAAGTGTATATATTTCCTTTTTTTATTATTATTTTTTAAAAAAGAAAATGTATTATAATTCTTTGAAACATAAGATAAGGTATGAATAGTATTTTTTGTAAAAATGTTATTTTTTATATGATAAAAGTAATTATGAAGAATATTGTGATTAATTATTTTTCTTTTTTTCATATAATATTTCTGCTTATTTGTATCAACATTTTTACTTATTTCTTTTTTTAATTTTAAACAAGATTTTAAGAATTTGATGGATAAAATATCATTAACATTTGAAAAATCCTTAAAATTTTCTATTGTTCTTAAAATTATATAAAAAAAATAGAAATAATATTTCTCTATATATATATAAAAGTTAAATAAATTGATTATATCAACTAAATTTAAACAATAATTTAAGGAAATTTTATTTTTCTCATAAAACTCGTTAGATAAGTTATATATTTTTTCTTGTCCTATGTTTAGTAATAACTTTAAGTGTTGCAATTCTTCCATATATAAAAGAGATAATCTTAAATAAATATTATCATTTTTATTAAATAAATAATGTATATTATTTAAATTTAATATAATACTTTTTAAATCATAAATATTATCTTCTTGATATTTCCTTTTGTGAAAATTCTCATAAAAAGAGGAATTGTTACAATAACTCAAATCGTGTAGTAAATTTGTAGTACTTTTACTAGATAAAAAATTATATTTTTTTACATTTTTTTCATTTGTAACTTTTTCTTTTACATAATTATTATTTAATAAGTTTCCGAATAATCCTTTTTTAATTTTGTTTTTAAAAAAAAAAAAACAGCTAAGTCTTTTTAGTTTTAAGTTTTTTTTTTGTTCTACCCATTTCGTTATTTCTCTCTGAAAATTCATAAAAGACCATAAAATGTGTAATTACAAAAAAAAAAAAAAAAGAAAAAAAAAAAATATTTTAAAACAATTATTATTTATATACTTTTTTTTTTTTTTTTTTTTAAATTTATATTTTTATTTATTCATTATTTTTAAGAATAATATAAACTTGTATTTTTTAATTAAAAAAGTTTTAAAAATATTTTTATCCAAAATTTAATTAAATATAAAGATGTCCATACATGATATTTAAATTTCCTTTATTTTAAAATAAAAATATTTTGTATTTTAATTTATCGTAATTCTTATTCTTAATTAACGTTTTTAAGTTCATAAAAAAAATGTAAAAAAAAAAATATATTCTCTAAAAAAGGAAATTTTGATAAACTATCATTTAAATAATATACTTTTATGATTCAACATTCTTCTTTTTTAATGAAATTATAACATTTGTAAGTCTCCTTTCTTTATTTTTCTAAAAAAAAAATAAAAAATAAAAAATAATAAAGAGTAAAATAAGAGAAAATATGTTTATTATTATAATGTATAAAAATTTACAGGTAATAAATTTAAATAAATTATATAATAAGTAAATAGATAAAATATAAATATAAATAAATATATGAATAAAAGTAAATATTTATAATAGAATTGTTAACTAACTTCAATATATTTATGAAAATTTTGATTATATGATTGTTTAGAAAAATTTATTAAATCATCATAATTATCACTTAAAAATTCTTCTTTGATCAAAAATTTATTTAAAATTACATTATCATTCATAATAAGAGTTTTGCTATTTACTTTAATATCTATAAAAGAATATATATCAATTTTTTTTTTTATGTTTTTTTTAGAACTATCTTGAATATTTTTTAAAAGTAGATAATAATATTTAATTAAATCTTGAACTAAATAAGAAGCTTTAATTATATTAGTTCCAACTGCATATATATGAACTTCATTATTTGATACCAATAAGTTATTAATTTTGTTATTTCCTTCTATAATATTATCTACTTCTTTTGAATTATTTAATATTTTTAAAATTCTCTCATAATATATATTAATTGATTTATTAGATGTAATATATATATCTATATTCTTTTTTTTTAATATAGGTGAATTCTCCTTTTGAATAGTTTCAATTGTTATTTCATTTTTTTTCTTTTTTTTTTTTTTTTTATTTAAATCATTAAACATTTTTTATAAATTACATTAAAAAAAAAAAAATTTAGGTGATAAAAAATATATGCACACTTTTGTTTAAATTTTTTATTTAATTCATATTTCTTTTTCGTTAACCTTTATTTTTTTTAAAGCTTAAATATTTGCTAATAATAAAAGAAATATATAATTTTAACATTAATTATATTATAAAAATCTCAAATGATTAATATATATAAATATGGTATTCGTATAAATTATATTAAAATATTTATTATTGGTTTTATAAAAAAAAAAAAAAAAGAATAATAATGTAATATATAGCTTATTTTATTTTATAGTTTTAAAAAAAAAAAAAAAAAAAATAAAAATAAAAATATACAGAAAAATAATATATAAGACTATTATTACATATGTTCTATAAAAATTTAACTTGTAAATAAGAGAAAAGCTCATTTGTAAATTAAAATTAAAAATATAAATTTTATATTTAAAAAATATTTTTTCTTTTTTTATTTGTAAAATGTATTTTATTTTTATTTCACATTTTTTATTATTTACTATATATATATATATAATTAGTATTTTTTTGATATAAATTAAAGAAATTTCAGTTTTTTATTAAAATGATTGTTATTCTGAAAATAATATGATATCCTTAAAATATATAATATCAACATTAAATATCATAAAAAAAAAGAAATATAAAAATAATTATTCATCTTTATGTAGAAGATATAATTGTTCTTTAAAAAATTATATAAATATACATACATACAAAAATGAAGAAGAATGTTTAAAAGATATAATAAAACTTCATAATGAATTACATGTTTTTCTAAATTCTAATTGCAAATATAAAAATGATAACCAATCTAATAACAACACAATTAATTCTGATTTATATGTTTTAAATAAGATAAATAAAGGAATAAATAAAGAAATATTTAGAAAAAAATATTTAAATAAATGTAACATTTATTTAAATGATAGTAAAAATGAAAATTATGAATTTGATAATAAATTATGTAAATCAATAAATAATGAGGAAAATAAAATAGAAAAGAATATAAAAGAAAAAAGTGAATTGATTACAAAATTGATGAATGAAATGAGTATTGACCAGATTTTTGTATTAAGTAAAAAAGTTATAAATAAAGATTTGTATAAATTATTTTTAATAAAATATTTTTTTTCTAATAAAAAGAAAATAAATAACATAAATTCTAATGATCTAATATCTTTTTTTTTTTTATGTTCCATTTATATATTTGATAAAAATATTTATTACAATTTGTTTCATTATTTTAAAGATACACCATATTTATGTAAAGACATCCTAAAAATACTTCTTAACATAATTTACAAAAACATATATAATTTCAAATCTAATTGTATAAATGAAATAGTTATTATATTATTTAAATTGCATAAATTAGACTCGTTTAATTTTTCAATTGATGATATTAACAATTTTATTAAAAAGTTATCATATCTTCTTTTTAAATTTAACAATAAAAACATAATCAATAAAAGTAATATATTAATGGAAGAAAAAGAAAAGGAATTTGATAAAAACAGTATATATATTAACACTGATAATAAAAGTAATTATGAAACAAATATAGTTTGTAATAATATGAATAATATAGAAAATATTAATGAACTAGAAAAAAAAGATACTATAATTTATAAAGAAGAAAATGTTTCAAAGAAATTGCAGAATAGTTGTTTCTATTTTTCTGATATAACAAAATTGCTCTATGAGATTATATCTTTTCATAAGACTCTTTCAGTAAATAATAAAATAAATTATGAATGTTTAAATGAGTATTATATTAACATAATCAGTAATATTATTATATTTTCAAAAAATGAAATTAATAATGATAAAATAAAAGATAACTATTTTTGGAAATGTTCTATATCCTTACTCTATAGTTTAACAATCTTATATGACAAAAAATTTCATGATGATTTTATTGATATTTTTGAAAATTGCATAAAATTATTTTTTCGTTTTTTTTATTACGATTCAGAAAAAATTAAAGTTATGAATTATTATGAAATAAAAGAATTTTTAAGTAGAGATTTTCATAATATGAATAATATAGAGAAAAATAGTTACAATAATTCTATCGATATTTTAAAAATAAGAAAATATATGTATGATTCAATTAAATATATAAAAAATTATAACGATTTAAATATTTCTTTTGTATTAATTTCTGATAATGACATAAAAGAAAAAAATACATTTTTGCTGGAAGAAATTATTAAATTTCTTCATTCTCTTGCCTTTTATGAAAAAAAAAAAAATGGTCTCAATGAAAAAAGAAATAATGATATAAGAAAAATTATATTATACATGTTACCAAATGTAAATAGTTTAATTGAAAAATTCATATTTCAAATATTACATGACATTAAAACAAAGAGATTAGATATAAATGAAAATAGGCATATATCACATGAGAGTAACAGAAAAGAAGAATGTAATAATAAAAATATATTAATAGAAAATAATATGTATGAAAATAACTTAAATGAAAATAATGTACATTTAGAAGAAGATAATTCAAAAATTGCTACTTTGAATTGTAAAGATAAAAATAGTATTAATGATTTATTAAAATATTTAAGTCATTTTTTGAATATATGTTATGAATATAGAATAAAGGATATGAATCTTTTTTATACAATAACATTTTTAGTTGCAAAATATAAAAACATTGATTTAATTGTTTTAAGTAATATTTTAAATATTTTTTCGAAATTAAATTATTGCTTTCCTACTTATTTCATTTGTTTTTATTTTACAAATTATGTAAGAAAAATAAAATTTAATGAAGATTTTTTACGAACAAATTTTTTCCCTATAAAAGAAATGAATCAAAAAGTTTTATTAAAAAAAAAAAAAAAAAACGAAACAAATATACTTTCTAATGAAGAGATGGAAATTATGAATTTATCAAAAAATGAAAATCTTCCCCAAGTAAACCAAAAAAATATTTGTATTATTTCTTATATATGGAAAAAATTTTTAAAAAATATAAAAGAAAATGTTAACGATGAAAAAAGATTAAATGATTTACTTCCTGTAAATATTACTAAATTAATAAATGGTCTAATTTATTATAAAAGTTTAGATAAAAAATTAATTGAAATTATTATGAAGATAATTTTAAGACATTATAATTCAAAAGAATTAGTAAAAAAGAAAGGAAAAAATGAAAAAGAGAGTTTTAATTTAATATGCTTAAGCTCACTTCTTAACTATATGAGTTTTACAGATGATATTCAATGCTATAATATAAAAGTAAAATTAATAAAATTAATAAAAAATAAAATATTAAAAGATAAAAATTCTTTTGATGGTAGATTACTATGTGGTATTTATATTAGTTATGCAAGATTAAATATTTTTGATAAAACACTATTTTATACCATTTATAAAAGATTAGATTTAAAAAAATTAAATATCATGAATATTATAAGCATAATTTCATATTTAAACAAAATGAGTATCTATGATAAAGAAGTTTTATGCGATTGTTTTAATTATATATTTAACAATATAAAAAATTCATTAAAATCACATTTGTCTTTTCTTATTCACGTATTATTTATTTTAACATCTATTTGTCAATTATATTTGTTTAATAAATTTTATATTATATTATCATATATATTTCAAATTATTTATTACATATATGAATTTTATAAAAAGAGGAATTTTAACAGAAAAATATTATCTTATAATTTTTATTCTATGTTGCTGATAAGTTTACATACTCTCTATCATTTTTTTTTAGTTCTAGAAAATATGAATTTATTAAATTCAATTAGTATAAGATATCTATATTTTATTAATTATATATTAGATCAAATATATGATGATGATCAAGTAACAACTACCCAATCGCAAATTCAAAAAAATGTTTTAAATATTTTACGTCAAATTTTGGATAATCAAAAAATAAAAATATCATATGAATACAATTTAAAAAATACTCCATATCACATTGACATGTTATTACTAATTAAATGAATTTATTGTAATTTATAATTGAAATTATTACACATTATTATATTTATATTTCTTTTAAATTTTTCATTTTTTTTTTTTTTTTTTTGTAAATTATAAAATTTTAGAATTTATTATATTTGTGATACATTTTTTGTTTTCTTTATATAAGTTATTTTTATTAAATATTTAAATTATTTCTTAACGATACTGGAAAAAAAAAAAAAAAAAATTTTTATGAAAAATAAAAAATAAAATATTTTTTATATCAAAATATTCATATATTGAAAACAAATTTAGTTTTCTATAGAAAAAATAAAAATATATTAAAAAGGTTTATTCTATAAAATTTATCTTGTTTTTAAATGTCTATTTTTTATTTTGTTTTAATGTAACAAATAAATAAATGAAAATTTTTTATTAATTTTTATTCAATGTGCTTATAAACCACAAAGAATTTCAAATAAATCAAAAATAAGAAAAATTAAAATAATATAAATATAGATAATTCTAATTCTATGATATTTTTCCATTTATAAAAGAATAAACACTTTAAAAATATGATGTTAAATGCAATAATTGAAAAAACTTTTTAACATTTTCATTGTAATTTTCATCTCTTTTCAACCAAATGAAATATCTTAGAATAAAAATTGTTAAACTTACAAAAAAGTAGTATTAACATACGTATTTAAAAAAACATAATAAAAAAATTTATGCGCATATAAGGAAATTCCTTTAAAAATTAGAAATATTGAAGTAAAATTAAAAAATAACCAATAAATAAATAAATGAAATTAAGATAAAAAAAAAAAAAAAAGTAAATAAAAATAAATTAAAAAAAAAAAAAAAAAAAAACATAAAAACTCATTATATAAAAAATAAAAGTCTTATCTAAGAAAAAAGTGAAACCTATTAATAAGTCTGCACTTTGTTTCATTTTTTTTTTTTTTTTTTAAATAATTTAAATGTGTAAATAATTTTTTATAAAAATATAAAAAAAAAAAAAAAAAAAAAAATGAATAAAATATTTATATTCTACTATTTTTATTTTTTTCTTACTTTTCTTTTTTATATTCTTTTTCCTTTTTTTTTTCTTTTTTTTTTTTTTTTGTTAGTATCAAAATAAAAATAAATGGAGAAATGCTTGTTCTTGTAAATTTACAATATTTTTTTTTTCTTCTAATGCAATAAAATATTTTTAATTTTTATAGTATATCATTATTTTTTATTTTTTTTTTTTTTGCTTTGAATTATATAATTATTATATAAATTTATTTTGGCTATTTTTCTTTTAAAAAGTAAATTTTTTTTTTTTTATAGTAAAATGGAGAATAACCCTTATTCCTTTAAAACTTTAATAAATATTTATGAGGAATATTTAAATTTGATTGTTCATAGAGTAAAAGGATACAAAGTTTTAATTTTAGATGACGAAACGAAAAGTATCATTTCTTTAATTTTTTCTCATTCATATATATTAGAAAAGGAGATATTTTTAACTTTAAATTTTAATGATAATAATATATTTGAAGATATAAATAATAAAGATGAAAAATTTGATTTCAAAAATCATAAGATAAAAAATTTAAAACATTTAAAGGCTATATTTTTATTGAGACCTACTCATACTAATATATTAAAATTGATTAAAGAATTAAAGAAACCAATTTTTTTAGAATATTATTTATTTTTTACAAATATATTAGATGAAAAATATATAGAAAAATTAGCAAAAGCAGATGAATTTGAAGTTATTAAAAATATCATAGAATATTATATAGACACATATGTGCTACACGATTATTTATTTACATTGAACATTGATTATACATCCTTTTTATATAAAAATAATAAATTTATTTTAAATGATAAAAAAAAAAAAAATTTTAATTTTAAGCAGTATAAAGATTTTAAAAAATATGAAAAATTGACAATAGATGAGTTTAATGAAATAAGAGAAAATAATTCTATTAATGATGATAATGATTATAAAAATGATGATAATGTTATTGATGATATAAGTTATTCTAATTTTATTCTTTATGAAAATCAAATTATAAATAGAATTGTAGATGGTATATTTTCTTTATTATGTTCAACTAAGCAAATTCCAGATATCATATATAATAAAAATTCTAATATTTGTAAACATATAATTGATTTATTAAAGGAGAAAGTGTTAAAATATAAATCTATTTTTTCAGGAGTTTTAGAATCCTATGAAAAATATAATGAGGAAATGGAGAAATATAAGAAATTAAATTATGCAAATGAAAATAATTATCAATTTAATAATTTAATTAATCAAAATACATATACAATGGGAAATTCTTCTCTCTTAATAATTGATAGAAGAGAAGATCCTATTACTCCTTTATTAACACAGTGGACATATCAGGCAATGTTGCATGAATTGATTGGGATTGAAAATAATAAAATAAATTTAGAAAATAATAATGAAGATGCAAAAATAGTGATGTCATGTAACTATGACGATTTTTATAATGAGCATTTATTTGATAATTTCGGAGATTTAGGGAAGGCAGTTAAAAATTATGTAGATATTTATCAAGAAGAAACATCGAAGAAAAGTAATTTAGAATCAATTGATGATATTCAAAAATTTATAGAAATTTACCCAAATTATAAAAAATTATCAGGAAATGTTACAAAACACGTTAATATATTACATAAATTTTCAGAGATTGTAGATAAAAGACAATTATTTTACATTTCAGAATTAGAGCAATCTATAGCTATATATAATAAAAAAAGTGAACATTTTAAACAAGTATTAGACACAATAAAAAACTACACATATACTAATTATGACGTATTGAGATTATCATTATTATATTCTTTAAAATATGAAGATGAAGAACATATTAAAATAATAAAAAATGAATTAACAAGAAGAAATATTGATAAAGATCAAATATTATTAATAGACGCTTTATTATTATATTCTAATGAACAAATTAGAAATAACCAACTATTCAAAGAACAAACATTTTTAAATTTAGCTAAAACAACTATAACAAGAACAATTAAAGGAATATCAAATGTTTTTACTTTACACAAATCATATATATATTACCTAATAGATGATTTAATTAAATCAAAATTAAATAATCAAATATATACATCTACAAGTTTTTTAAATATGAAATCAAATCAAAATAGAAAACCTAATTCTATAATTGTATTTTTCATTGGTGGAGCAACTTACGAAGAATATAGAGATATTCATTATTTAAGTAAAAAATATAATATTACAATTTTACTGGGATCAACACAGATACATAACTCCCAATCATTTCTAGCTGATGTATTACAATTAATGAAAAATTAATATCTTTAAATATCCACTAATAAAAAATAGTCAAATGTGTAAAAATTTGTTAACAAAATTTTTAAAAAATTATATATTTTAAAACAAAAAAAAAAGAAATGCATTTTTTTTTTTTTTTAATAAATAATGTATTAATTTTTTTAATTAATTTTATTTTTTAATAGAAAATATATTAATTTTTTGTTATTTTATTTTATTATTTTTTTTTTTTTTTTATATTTTTTTTTAATTTTTTTTTTTTTTTCTCTTTTTTCATATTTTTTTTTATGGTTTTAAAAAAATATAGATAATTTTTTTTCTTTTATCGAAATGATTAAAAATTAAAAGCCGTTTTTACAATAATAAATCTCTATTATTTTTTACTATTAGTTTTTTAATTTTATTTTTTTATATATATAATTTCATGTTTTAAGTTTTTTTTTTTTTGTTGGACTCATTGTTTCATTTGTACAATAAATTTTTCTGAAATTATTTTTTCTATTAAAAGCATCTAGCAATTCTTCTTTATCATATATTTCTAGATTATGCAATCTCATTATTTTTATTTTATCAACATCATATAAATTAAATGTATATTCTGAATTTTCATCATCATTATCTGAGCTAAATTCTAGTTCCTTTTTTAAAAAATATTTTTTAGTAGAATATGAATAATTAGTATCTTTTTTAAAATTTTCATTATATAAAAAGCAAATATCCTCTTTATAGGAATTTGAAGATGAATTGTTTGATACGTTATCTAACAAAAGACTATTACTATTTTTCGTAATTTTATAATGAACATTTAAATTATAATTTTTTAATAAATTATCATTATTATTAAAATTACTAGTTTTTAATTTAGTAATTTTATTACTTTCTGAAATATCTTTTAACATATAAGTATTTTCTAATTTAATTGCAAATTTCATTTTTAATTTATTAACTATATCATGAATTTTCATAATTTTTTTATTATCAATAAATTGATAGATTTCATTTTTATAAAGAAATGGGAAATATCTTTCATTAATAATTTTATTTTTTGAATTTTCATATCCTGAAGTAAAATGTAATCTGCATTTACCTTCTAATATTTCATAAAAGCTTTTTAAATATACATCATGAATATTTCTTGTTAATAACCTTTCTTTTGTACTTTTTACTGAATATAAATTATGGAAGTCACTTCTTTTTTTGATTTTACTGACAAAATTATTATTATAATCACAATCGTCTTCATCAGTATCACTATAATTTTCGTAATCATCACCATCACAAATATATTTACAGTCAATTTTTTCTTTTTTCTTTTTATTATGTTTTTCTTTATTTTCATTTATAACATTATATACTTCCTTTTCTTCTCCCATATTTATTCTTATATCAATTTTTTCTTTTTGTTTTTTCAAAATTCTGCTTTTATTAATTTGATTGTTTTTTTTCATAATGTAATTTTTATAATACTGTGAATTTTTGGTATTATAATTTTCAATACTTTTAATTTTATCTCCTCTATTATTATCAATCTTTTCTCTTTTCTTTGGTAAAAATTCTTCACTTAAATCTAATAAATCAATTAGTTCATCAAATACATTAGAATTTTCTTGATTGCTTGAATTCATATTAAAGTTAAAATAATTTATATGTTCTTTATAAGCTAAAAAAAACAAATTTAAAATAGTTAAGTTTCCACATATAGGTTTTAATCCAACAGTATAATACTTAGAATCTTTTGTTTTGTAGGAACATATTAGAATATAATTTGTTTCATGCAATGAGTAAATTAAATAATTCATCATTTTAAAATCTATTTTGTCTTTTTTATGAGTAACAACAAAGTAAGTAGTTCCTACAATATTTCCCCAATCAATTTTATCTTTCTTAATAGTACACAAACATTTTAATTCACATTTGTTACTATCATCTATTAAATTTGTATCTATTTCATCAGTAGGTAAATAATAATTGCTTCCATATTTATAATATTTTATCACATTATTATTTATCTCTTTATTTTTTTTTAATTTATTATATCCTTGATTGATTACTTCTTCCTGAATATTTTTTCTATATAAATTTTTTACTTCAAAATTAGATGATAAATATTTCTTTAATGTATTAAAGTTGTTTTCTTCATTGAAATAAAGAAAGTTATTATGAATAGAAAACATCTTTAAATGATCTATTTCACATTTACTTGTAGAACTGCAAGAAGAGTGATTATTTTTTTTTTCTTTAAAGTCAACAAGACTTTTTGATATATTTTCATAATATTTATTAAATAAATTCTCATTTACATTATTTTTATGGATGTTCTGAGTGGATGTGTATGAATGTATTTCAACAGTTATTTCTATAGCATTAGGAATTATAAAATTAACTAATGATTTTTTTTCTGATTTTTCATTAGTTAAATGATCATTTTTTATTTTTTTAAAAGCCTCTATATATGTATAAATAGATCCATTACATAAAAGAATTACTTTATTCCACATTATTTGATTTTTAATACTTTTTTTTTTTATTTTGTTTTCATTGTCTTTTATATATTCATTTAAATCAAACAAATTATCAAAAAAAAAGTTTCTTTTAAAATTTAATCCAATGATTACTAATGATACATAATATTTCAAAATTTTCATAATATATTCATAAAAATTAAAATGAATAATTTTTTTCTTTTGGCAAGTTAAAAATATAATGAAGTTATTTAATTTATCTTTATATTTCACTTTTTTAGAATTATTTGTTTTATTTAATAACTCTAACGCTTTAAGAAAAACATCGTTATAACTAATTTTTTCATTGAACTTTTTATGCAATAATATATCATTTAATAAATTTTTATATAAGCCAAAATTGACTCTCTTCAATTTTTCCAATATATAAATATTTGATTCATTATCAGATTTTTTTTCTTTTGATTTGTATCCAGCTAATATAAGAGCAATTTCACATGTAGAGTCATATAGTATTTTTTTTTCTAAAAATGTACATAAAAGTTCAACGAGTATTTCATGATTTGATTTATTTTTTTTTACACTATTGTAATCAAACAAATCAGGAGTATATTCAATTATTATTACTATCCTATTTATTATTTTTTTCATCTTTTCTATTTTTACGTTTTATGTGTTTTTTTTTTTTTTATCGTTACAATTATTAACATAGCAACTCCTATGAATACAACTATTAATTCATTTATTATTTCGATTAGTATTTTTTTTTTTTTTGCTTTTTTATTTTTTTTTAAAAGAACAAGGTTCAGTTCTATTTTATCAGAAGTGTTAAATTTTTAAAAATCTAGAAAAAATAAGTGAGTTCATTTTAAAAAATTATTATAAACGTTTTCTTTTGTCATTATTTATAGCCTTTATAATTATACATAAATATAAAACATCTCATATTTTTATATCATATTTTTTTCTTTAAAAATTTTATATATATATCTTAAAATATATTTTTTTTGTTAATTTCATACGATTTTTTTAAAATTTGTTATTAATATTTAGAAGATAAAAAAAAAAAAAATATTATAATAAAAAGAATATAAATAAGTCCACAAATATTTAGAAAAAAAACTGCTATAAATAACGTATTTATTATGATTACAGTTATTAAAAATAGTCAATTTTTTTTTAATATAAATTTCTTAAAAATTAAATATGTTAGTAAAATTAATATATAATAATCAAATAAAAAAAAAAAAAAAAAACAAAAGATAAATTCGATTCTGAGCTTTTTTGTTCAAATTATATTTTATATATATTCTTTTATTATTACTTTTGTGCATAAATATTTATTCTTTCACTCACATTTATAGTGTATTATTTTTATTAGACAAAATTTTATTTCTTTTTTATATAACACATGCATGTATAATAAAAGAAATTAATACTTTTTAAAAGTTGAATAATCCTTAAAACAATTTATTCATATACATATAAGATTAATATTTTCGACTATTAAAACTTCATTCTATATCTTTAATTCAAAATAAGTATAAGTATTTCATTACAACCTGGTAGCATTAAAAAAAAATTTATATAAATAAGAATATAAATATACATACTATATATATATATATATATATATGTATATATATATATATAAATAATTTAAACTAAATGTATATATATATCTAAATTTAAATGGAGGGCATTTAAAAAAACTTTTTGTATTTTTTTTTTTTTTTTAATTTATAAAAATATATTAAAATAATTAAAATATTTTTTCCTTTTTTTTTTTTTTTCTTTTAATACTTTTAATATGCCAACTAAAAAATGTAAAAAATTTTTAGAATATTTTTGTTGCTTGTAATAAAATATTTCATAAAAGAGAAAAGGAAGTTGCAAAAATTATATACTTTGTTATTATTAAAAAAAAATAAAATAAAATTATGATAATTTTTATTTAGAGATTTCGATAAATAAATTATAAAAACTCGAATTTTTAAAGGAATATTTACAAAATAATATGCATTTAATAGATTTTAGTAATTCTTAATGGATACTTAAAAGTATCATTTTACATTATAAGAAAATCTAAAATATTACATTAATTAATCATTATTAAAAGAAAATAAAAAAAAAAACATAATTTTTTTTTTTTTTGTAATTCACATAAAGAACTGTAAAAGAATTTTTTCTTTTTTTTTTTTTTTTTATATATGCATTATCATATGTTATAGTTTAATAATATATTAGTTTATCTAATTATTAGGATGCATATAAAATATTATGTCGATAAGTATATATAAAATGTCACAATGTAAAATATGGCAAATAATTCAATGTATAATTTATTAATTGAAAAAAAAAATATAAATATACTTAAAGACAATTTTGATTTTACTTCATTAAAAAATAATGAGGAATATAAAATTAGTTTAAATCCTGAGTATATTCAAGGTTATTATGGATGTAAAAATAATTTACTTAAATTTGCATACAAAAAAATTATATATTCATATAATAATTTGATAATTATATACGATTTATTAAATCAAAACCAGTCAATTTTTTCTGAACATAAAAATAAAGTAAATTTTTATAAAATTTTGATAAGAATTACAATATATATATATATATATATATATTTAAAAAAATACAACTTTTAAAATATATATAAGTATTATATATTATTTTAATATTAATATGTTCTTTATGTGAATTTTTTTTTGTTTTTTCTAATTTATAAATCATTGTATCATATATTTGTTTTCTCAGTTTTTAAAAGTTATTTTATATATTATATTCAATTATATATTTATCTTTGGATCTTTTTATTTATTTACATTATTTTTCTTAATTTTCATATCTAGGTTATCTTCTTCAGATGCAAAGAAAATTGTAGAACAGTTCTAAGTGCAGAAGATAGTAATAATAAAATAAAAATATTTATATGGAATAAATTAAATTTACAAATTTTAACACACATAAAAATAAAAAAGGAGAATTTTTTAGATATAGATTTTTTAAATGATAAGAATATATTACTACTATGTAAACATTATGATAAGTTAATATTTTTTGTATTCTTTGTTATATATAAAAAAAAAAATGTACTGTTAAAAAAGAAGTATGTAAATGTCATAAAAAAATTAGATGATCTTGATTTAGCAAAAAAAAAAGAGAATTTGAAAAATAATGACCATATTTTTACAAATTTAGATAAACTTATAACGAAAGAAATAAAAAGATATAAGGCATGTAATATATTTAAGAAAAAAGATGAAGAATATATTAAAATTTGTATGCATTCAATTTTAAATAAAATAAAAAAAAAAAAAAAAAAAAAATTTGGAAATTATGAAAAATACAAACCTATGTACAATATATTAAAACAAAATAAAAAATTAAAAAAAAATTTATATAAAAAAAATTATTTTAAAAAGTTAAATGGGGAAATTGTAAGTTGTGTAAAAATTAAAAAATACAAAAAACATAATATCTTTTTCTATTATATCACTTTTATAAAACCATTTAAAAAATGCAAAAAAAGTTATAATGTATTATTAGGAAATTTTAAAATATTTGTAGATATTAATAAAATTATATGTATATATAATGAGGAATATGTGTTTATATATCTATTGAAAAATTATATTCTTTATGAAAAGTTAAAATATAAAAACTTTCAATGTAATTGTTATTTAGATGATAATGCGTTCTCATTAATTAAACAAAATCATAGTTTTTTTTCTATATTTCATTTCTATATATTTATAAAAAAACTTATTCTAAATCAGCACATTTGTTTTAAAAAGGATATTTTTTTACCACATAAAAATCATTTCGAAGATAATATTTTAAAAAGCAATCAAGAGGAAAAAAGAGAAATAGACGAAGATGATAAAAATAAAAAAGAATCAGGAGAGAAATATGTTGATGGGCAAAGCGAATTAAATATATCAAGTATTTCAAATAATTCATCACATAATTGTTTATCAAAAAATATGAATGATTATTTTAATTTTTTTATTAATGATGAAATAAATGTAGTTGAAATTATTACTTTTATATCTACAAAAGAAGATAATGATATGGATATAATTTTTAACTTACAGAAATGTGCTAAAAAGAAAAAAAAAAAAGATTTTGAAAGAAAAAAATATTTTGTTATAGGGACAAAAAATGGAGTAATTATAATTATTGATTTTACAGAACCACATAAAATTGTGCATTTAGAGAAAATATGTAGCGATAATATTGTCTCCATTTTTATTTTTCAAAATAATGTATTAATATTAAATTGTTTGGGTATTTTGTTTTTTATGAATGCTTATAATTTCAAAGTATATAAAAATATTAACATATTTGAAAAGAACAATAAAAATGACCTTTCTTTTTTAACCAATAGTAATTTACAGGATTATGATATTTCTCCCAATATATTAGAAAAAAAATTAAATTCTTTTAGAAATAATAAATCTAACAAAAATAACTCAAAAAACAATAATGTTATTAGAAAAAAATCAGGAGATACATGTAAAAATAAAGAAAATAGTATTATTTACTACAAAGAAAAAAAAAATAACCATGTTAATATATTTGAGAATTGTCTAAAAAAAAGTAGTTTGAATGAACTTGAAAATAAATATATATATTCAAGTTGTTTACTGGATATTTATATTTTAGTTATAGGAACGTCAGACAATGAAATAATAATTTATGATTTAATTAATAATGAAATTTGTTTTATTTGTAAAAAAAATTACAAAATAAATTATTTCATACTTGAAGATGATAATATTATTTATAACATTGAAAATTCGTTATATAAAATGAATTTAATTAATTATAATTCTTTTAAGTTATTAACTTTAGCTAAAATAAATATCAGCTCATTTGTTTTTTACTCAGATAGTATTTTAATATGTGGTACATTTAAAGGTAACTTATATTTTTTTGATATTTCAAACAATAATGTAAAAGTTATTAACAAAATAGAAAGAAAAAGATTTGTGCAAAAAGAAGTATTCCACAATAGTTTTAAGAGTAATGAAAAACAAATTATTTTTTCTATTAGGAAGGTTATTAACAAAAAATTTGTAAGAAAATCAAATATCATAGAAAAAGAAGTACATAATGATAGAATAATAAGGTTAGTTTTAAATAAATCAAAAACTTTTTTATTATGTTCTTTAAAACATATGATATTTTTATTTAAATTAAGTATTTCGGGAAATGAGAAAATTGATTTAAAATGTGTGCGTTATTTCAACATTAATAACATTATACATATAAGTTTATTAAAAAAATTTGATAATTTATTTTATATTGCAACAAAAGAAAATAATAATTGTTACAGTTATCATCTATGTTCCTTTAATTCGGCAAAAATAAAAAAAGATAAATTGGATTGTATATATTTTAATATACTATATGAAAATACTTGGATTTGCGAATTTTTTTATTATAATGGTGAAAATTTTATTTTAACGGAAAACAACTTAGATAAAAATAAAAAGAGATGTATAATGCTTTTAGACTCTTTTTCTTTCATTATATATTCATATAAAATTAATAGAACTAATAATTTTTCTTGTAACAATTCAAATTATTCGATAAAAAATAAAACTTCTAATGAAACAATTAATAAAATTTATGATAATAAAAATTATTGCTTAGATGTACAAAAAAAGAATAATTTTACAAATAAAATTAAGAATTCAAATACATTAGCTAATGAAAAAAAATTTGATATTAAAAAAAAAAATATCTTTAGAAAAACTAAAAAGGTAAATTCTGAAATTCACGTATGTTTAAAAAAAATAGAAGCAATGAAGATTTCTAGTAATGTAAGATTCAACAAGGATTTAACTAATAAATTGAAAAGGAAAGAAAAAGAAGAAGAAAATAAAAAAAAAAGGGAAAAAGAAAAAGAAGAGGAAAAGAGAAAAAAAAAACTTAAGGAAATAAAAAAAACCAATGTAGATAAGGAGAAACAAATAGAAGGAATAAAAGAAAGAAAAAATATAGAGAATAATGAAAATAAAATAAAGCAAATAAATGAAAAAAAAAAGGATCAAAATAAAAAAAAAGGTGGTAAAAAAACACGTATATATATAAATTCACATAATCAACCAAAAGTAAAAGAATCAAACATAAAAGAAATAAAATCGTCTAATTTAAGTGTGGTAGAAAATAAAATATATGCCCAAGATAATATTAATAATATAATTGTCCAAAAAAAAATTTTTAAAAGCAATCATAAGTTAAATAATAGATTACTATTAAAAGATGTTTTAAAAACATATAAAGAAGATGAAATTTTAATGAAAAGTAAAATAAACACTCATGAAAAAAAAAAAATTTCTTATATAAAATACAAATTATTAAGAAATATTTTGCAAAAAAAAAATGTTGAATTATTTAATCATAAAAAATTAATCAACGAAAGTAATAACAATGAAAAAAAAAAATCGGATGAAATCAAAGAGTATAATTATGAGGATCATGAAAAAAAGGTGTCATATTTATTTTTAAATAAAAAAAGTAGTGAAAAAATCAACTTTTATAAAACATATGATAAAAAAGAAAAAGAAGTATTAATTAATGACCAGTATCAAAAGGGTGATGAATCTATAGATAAAGGGGAAATTAAGAAAAATATTGACGAAAGTAATTATATACTAAATTATTTAAGGAAATACTTAAACACAAATATTTTAAAAGAAAATGTATTAAATGAAAAACAAAGTAATACAAAAAATTATGATAATGATACTTCATTAGTTAAAAGACACTTAGATGATTATTTTATTTCAAACGAAAGTAATGTTAGTAATATTACAATATATAAAAATAACAATAAAAATAATATAATATCCAAAAAAGACATAGTCTTTTATCTCACAAAGGAATTAGATAAGGTGAATAATGAAGAAAATGAAAATTTAAATAAAAAGGAGGTTAATAAAATTAGTAAAAATTGTGATAATAATTGTGAAAGAATCAACAATTATAAAAGCAACAATTATGAATGTAATAAATGTGTTAACAATGATGAAAATAGTATTAATGATAATAAATGCACATATCTTAATTGTGATAATAAGATTACATATATAAAAGATAATATTTCTTATAAAAATTATTTATATTTTAATAGTGATAACAATGAAAATAATAAAAATAATAATCATAACAGAAATTATCCACAATATAATGACACAAGTGATAATAATAATCACAAAAAAAGTAATTACATTGACAAGAAATATCAAAATAATTATTATGATGTTAATAATTTCGGTAATAAAAATCATACAAATAAGATTTGTCATTTTAGATATAATAATGAAATAAATTATGGAAAATTTGTTAGCAGTAAAAGTAGCTATAAAAAAAATACTCATTTAAAAAGAAATAGCGAAATAAATTCTATTTTTAATATATGTAATGATGGAATAAATACAAATACACATATAAAAAAAATTTATGTTGATAACTTAAAATATGTTAAATATAACATTATGAGCTTAGATATAATGAAAGATAAGCGCAAAAAAAATTCAATAGGCACAAATCATATTAATAAATATTTTAGTATTTTAAATAACAATTCTAAAAACAAAAATTTGAATATATTTGCAAATAATTCAAACAAAGATTTTTATAAGAATGAATAAAATATCTTATATAAGTTTTTATTTCAAGTTTAAAAGATAGTTATAAAATCTAAATTTAGATAAAATAGAAAATATAAATGTTTATTAGAAATTTATAAATACATAGAATGAAAATATATATATATATGTTGAAGCTTTTTTAGAAAAAATTTAAAATCTTTATTCTATATTAGCAAAATAAAATTATAATATCAATAGTAACGAAAATTAAAGTTTAAAATTTACTAAAAGAAGTTTTAAGTATCAATAAATTTTTTATTAAATAAATAATTTAATTTATAAATACTTCAGCTTTCTTTACATGTAAATGTAGGATGATTAAATATATAGAATATTCTATACAACAATATTAATAACTTCTTTTTAAATGAAATACAAATATTTCATGTAATTCTCTAATATGCTGATGTTTTTCCTATAATTTTAATAATAATAAAAATATTAAAAAAAATTTAGAACAAATTTATAAAATAAAAAAAAAAAAAAAAAATTTATAAATTAAAACAAATTATTTTACTAAAAATGTGTAAATTAAAAATTAAGCAACTTAAAAATTTTTAACTATATAAAAAAAAAAAAAAAAAAAAAAAATACTGTAAAAATTAAAAATAGAACATTCATTAAGATTTATTTATAACATTTTAGAACGTTATATTGTTGTATAATTAATAATTTTAATAATGTAATTGTTATTTTATTATTTATTTTTTTAATTCATTGATAAATTTTAGGGAAAATTGTAACATATAATAACAAATATATATAAAATATAGTGAGCGATTCTGAAAATTCCATATATATTTTTTAAAAAAATATTATCATTTTATATATATTCTTATGTTTTGTTAATTTTTTTTTTTTTTTTTTTTTTTTTCAATATATAATGCTATATACTTTTCATTTATATCTTTATATTATTATATTTTTTTATGTAACTTTAATCTTTTTATTCACTTTAGTTTTTCGTTAATAATAAATGTGTTACTTTTTTTTTAATCTTTTTAATATTCTTGTTTGTTTTATCATAATAAATATTAAAATTTTATTATAATTTATATTATTTAGTTAGTGATGTGAAAATTTAATTTTTTGTTTTTTTGCAATTTTCATGAATTTCTTAATTTATAATTAAAAAAGAATATCATTACAAAAATATAAAGTAGCTGATAAATTTTTTAAGCTTAAAAAAAAAAAAAAAAATATAGGATTTATTAGGTCTTAATAACATATTTTTAAAAAAGAAAAAAATAAATAAAATAAAATTATTAACTAGCAATAGCTCTTTTTTATCTTTTAAAAAGAAAATGGAATTTTTCGAATATTATTATGATTACGTGCAATAAAATATCTAAAATAATGTAATAAAAACACTTACTATCAAATACACATAAACATATATAAAATTTACATTAAATGCATATATATGAATATTATCCCATTTTTTAAAAAAATAATTATTTATTAAATGTGCATTTTTTGTAAGACATTAAAATAAAAAATTTTTTTTATAAGATATAAAAAAATTATAAAATAAAAAGAACTTCTAACATTACTTATAGTTCATTCTATTAATACCGAATATTGTTAATAAAAAAAAAAAAAAAAAAAAAAAAAAAAATTTTTTTTTTTTTTTTTTAT